TATATTACATAAATGACTTATTTATGTAACAATTTCTATAAGCAACAATCTACTATCTTTAATAATACAATGAAACACTATTTATATTTCACATTTGTATATCTTTAGAATTTGTACATTGTTTTAGGTTGGTCTCAAAACATTCCTATTTCTTTCAATAGTGAAATACTTCATTATGTCTAAACTCATTACAGAGTTTCACTTATTTGTTATGTCCTCTCTGATAAAGATAATTAACATTGCAATATTCTTTTATAAAGCATATTCAGAATTTCCATGGCATATTTTCTTATTCTATTCTTGCACCCTCTCCTCACATATTTGGAATTAAAAGTCATAAAATTGGTCTCAGCAGGTAAATTGCCTCTCAGAGTGGACAGATTAGTAGTATATTATTGGCTAATGGATGTCCAGGAATCCTAATTTAGAGGAAGTCTATACATTTATAGTAATATATGACAGCAAAAAACTTCCTTAACAAAACTTTACATCAGCAACTACTCCAACATACAATTCTAACATAAAATGCTTAACAGATTTTAATGAATATTCTAAAATTAAAAATAAATATTGTACAGATCAGCATAACACCTATTACCAGTGGCAGTGAATATGCAAAAATCAATTTGGATTGATTGCTGTTAACCAGATATGTACAGTACTTGATAAATTATGTCTACTCAACCATTAATCAACTGTGACTTCAAAAAACAAAAAGCATGGAATAAAAAGATACTTTATATTTTTATTATTAAAAAAATAGTCATAAAAGATAAACATTAAAACATTGTTAAAAGCTATAATAAGAGTTTGTAATAAAAACTTTAATTCTACATTTTGTGGTAATCTTGACTTAAATGTATAACCAAAAAGAAGCATAATTAAAATTTATTTTTAGCTCAGTTCCTTGAGAGATAACTTATAACTCATCAAAACTTGATTTTATTACAAGTAGTCACCAACTTATGATGACTGGAACTTCTATAATAAGTCAAGCATAAAAAATAATGATGATAAAGTATGATTCCTATATATAAATCTATATAATATCACATATACACTGTATATATATTGTAATCACTTACCATGTGTATCACAATACAATATATCAGTGTTGTTTGGACGTATTAAACTTCAAACTAATATTTTAGTTAATTAATTATGTCACTTTATTAAAAACGATTTATGACACATGCAGGTAATGAACCACATTCAGGAATCAAAGTTCACAATAAGAGAGTAATGCAATCTTTGTGTGAAATTGATTTTATTTTTATGTTAATTTTTATTTACTCTAACCTTATAAAATTAAAATTAGAGTGATAATCGCTGATTGAACAGCACTGCATAAAGTTAATTTCATTTTGCTTTTAAGATAACAATAATATAAGCCTGAATAAAATTAAGACATTTTATAGAACAAGTTCATCACCAAATATAGTATATTTAATTAATAGTAATTGTCATACTGTGCCAAATTAACAGGTGTAGCTGATTGTTTGGACTTGAAAAGGATTTTTTAATGCATTAGTTTCAGCCATTATAAGTACAAATATCTGTAAGTCAGTGACCTTTATGTTGCACTGCAATGGCTATGAAGGCAATGCTCAAGTCAGGACCGACGCCACCTGTAACTTTAGGCACATAGGAATCGTCTGAATAATTTTGTGTGAATAGTTGCATATGAAGGAATGAACAGGCTTGGGATGGAGGAGGGAGTTGAGAGACAGTGCACCAGAAATAATGCACTCCATTACACATTTAACCAGCAAATAACAAATATTTATTTTTCAAGTGAAAAAATAATTTACAAAAAAAATCGAAATAGAGACGAGAGTCTTAATGCATGCCAAAATGAGAGAGTGTTTACAGTTCTGTAATGTGGGTTCATAAATACCTGGATTTATAATATTCAACGATTGTTGGCCAGCTTGCATGTCCTGGAGAGGGAAAGAAGAGTCTCTCACTTAGTTGTGATGAGTCTTGGTGAAGAGATTAGAATCCCAAAATTCATAAGAGTAAAATCCACAACTGTTGTTGTTCAATTGATTGGCCAGTGGAAAAGACGAGAAATCAGGAATTTCAGTGGTGGAGCTCAGTGGAGATGAGCACACTTTGAAAATGGGTAGGGAACTCTCTTATCCTTTTTCTCCTCTCTTTTTTATTTGGGGTTTTTCCCCCTGCTATATTGATGACCAAATTTGGTAAGGTCATGCAGGGAGCTGGTAGTTAGTCCAATCCCTGATTTTTTTGGGACACTTCCTTTGATGAGTATTTTTTATTGGAATGTGTCACCCATGAAGAAAGTGTTTTCAGTGGGAAAATCTTGTGAAGTTTCTCTGTTGAATTTGTTAAAATAAAATAATTCTCTTGAAAATTAAATAAGATTAAGATCCTCAAAATTACAAAAAATACTAGCCCATGTTCTCACATCAGAAATTGTTTGTACTCTGTTAATTTTAAAATTAAAAACTAAATAGATTTTTTTAAATGTTGATGAGAATTTTATACCAAAATATGAAATTTAAGCATGAAAATATAAATTAATAATATTTTAAATGCTATAATATTAAAATATTATGTTCTGTAAAAATAAAAGAAACAATTATTTTAATTAAAATGATACACAGATAAAATCCTAAGAAGGTAAAGCTTTCTAACTTTATAAATATGAATTATAATTAATGCATACAAACTAAATAAAATACTTTTGGAAATGATTAAAGTAATTGGACAAAGGCAATTTGATGGCATTAATTAATCAAAACCTGTTTAATAAAAAAAGTTAAATAAAGTGAAAACATCCAATTCATAAAATAGTATTTAACAACAATTTTTATAATAATAAAAAAATTTAATTATTTCAACAATGATAGAAAAACTTTATAAAATAGCTCAGAATAGAAGACAAATTGGAACCTTGAGTTACAGTACAAACTTAACACCTTCTTGTCCAGCAAACACTTTATTCAATACAAAACTGATATTTTCGACCTACTATGAGAGATTTTCCTCAGAGTATACATATAGTGACAACAAAATTTGGAAGCCAAATGTTTCAAAATCGAACTTCTCAGGCATTCAGTGAATCAAATTTTATCAATGGAAATGCTCTTTGGAACATTTTATATTTCAAATTTTAAACTGAAGTATAAAATATTCCAAAATGTTTGACTAAATATTCAAACTTACACTTGGTATCAACAAAAGGTAACATTACCAATACATATACACAATAAGAATTAATGTGTAGCATTTATATTTAGAAGATAAAGTAAGTAACTATATTATTAAAGTAATTAATATTTAAACATAAATGAATACATAATATTATAGTCATAAATACCAAGCTAATAACAAAAGGAAAGTAATATTATTCACACACACTTATTGGGGATTATAAAGGATTCTCTATACTGTTGAGGCAGTTTCTGCATCTTTATAATTAATACACTTCCCCTTACTATGGATTTAAAAATTTCTAACTTTTCAAGTTTTCTTATGTGGACTACGTCCTTGCACATTTTACATTTTTGTATTTTAAAATTTAACTTCTATATCTAACTCACTTGCAAATGACACCAAAGTGGCAACTGCTTTCTTTTTTTAATTGTAGAATTTTGTCAGATGGCAAAAATGTTTTTGTAAGTTAATAAAAGACACAGTCGATCCAAAAAATCTTTTGGTAACCATCATTTATTCTTATAGTGTGTTCTAGAATAAAACTTTAGACGACAAGACCTTCCTTTATAGGCTACTCGACCTTCCAGTTAAACCATGCCTTAAAAAACACAGAAATTATCCAATTAAAAATATAAAATTAAGAATTGAAACTGGTGAATCTTATGACGTCTTTAGGTTTCTTCATCCTTTTCCATTCGGGAATTTCAGACCTTTATATCCACTGAAAAATTGTGCTGTTAAATGTAGATTTTCCATAATTTCCCTCTGGTGACAAATTATTGCAAAAATTTTTTTAATTGTAGAATTTTGTCGGATGGCAAAAATTTTTTTTGCTTTCTTTTTGTCTATAGTATCCTGTGTTTGTTCATTTACATTTGTGAGACCAGTATGTTCTAATTCTTGTCCAAATCTCTTATCTATCACTGGGATGTTGTATATCCCAGATGTGTGTTCAATATCTCTCCTGTTCTTGCAGTTCTTAAGCAAGGGGAAAACAGTATGGGTTCCTGCAATGTGCACTTTAGCCAGTAACTTCTTCATTATTTCTTCATATATCTTTCTAAGCTTCCTGTAATATCTTTCTACTTTGTTACATCTGTTATTATCTTTAACTTCTGTGTCATTTTGTTCATTATAGACCTAGCCCTTTATCAACTTTCTAACTTCTTGGGTACCCATTCAATGTAAACTCCCTCTGTGTATCCTAAATACTGCTATAGAATGTATAAGCCCTTCTAATAAGAGCCCTAAAAGCAAAGATTTGAAAGAGTATGGATCTTCTTAACATGCCAGTATAAAGAAAGGCCAATATTCTGCTTTTCTCTAAACACTCATACTAATGTGTCATTTAGGGAAACATACAAGTCTAAAAAATATGCTGCCATGTGCCTTGCCTAGTTTTAGGGTGAGTCCAAAGCTATTGCCATTCAACCTTCAGATAACCCCGCCTGTTGAGTTTACTTCAACATACAATCAATATATCATCCACAGACCTCTTATAAAGGAGTATCCAGGAGATAAAATCCAGTAGGATTAATTTTCTCGATCTTCACCAGGATTATGTTATTGCCCTTATCCATATCTTTCTTGCCTTAATATTTACCCAGAAATTTCTGTCTTCTGTTCTTGTCCTTTACCCTTGTAATTTAAATGCTGTCTTCCATCTAAAATATTCCTTGTTGCAATTAATTTCATAGAAATCTTGCAACAGCAGATTATGAGATTAATTCACACCTAACTCACAAGGATTTTATATGTAGAGAAAATTGCTGGTTTGATTGCCAGACACACCAGATTATAAAAATTTATATAATTACCAGGATCTGCATCAACAGGATCTGGTTGCCAATTTTCCCAATCTTCTTTTTCATCATCACTATGATAACTATCTTCAAGCATCAAAGGTGCTCCTTTCATGAGTTCACTAGCTAACTCACTACAGCTTTCATCTGTCAAATTAGTAACAATGCATCGTACAGTGTCATCTCTTGATCTGGAATATTTAACAAAAGTATAAATGTATTGATTAGATGTATGTGGCACTTAACATCAAGAAGTTATAAATAAAAAAGCAATTTTGCATATCAATAGACAAAATTCACAGAGCTGCTTGTTATGTATAAATATATTAATACATTTATCATTTTTATTAAAGATATAGATATTATATTAATCCATTAGTTATCATTATTGAGGTGGAGCATTAGCAAAGCCTCTTCTATGTGGCTTACAGAATTGTGTTTGTTCTCAAAATCTGTTTTATCAATTTTGATTAAACTTTATCATTTTCCATTCATTGTGATGATGAATTCAAAACTGTAATAATAAATGAGGGTCAGTGACTTTGTTTTTGAGATAAAGTCATTTCACAAGCATGCACAAACAAAGCGATATCACACAAATTGTGTGACTTTGCCATGCGATGTTTCACAATCACTAGAATGTCTTCTATGGGTTTATAGATTAGAGTTTGTTCTCAAAATTTACGGAGCCAATTTTAATAAAATTTTGCCATTTTCCATTAATTGCAATGAGGAATTTAAAAATATAATGAGGGTTCATTTAAGTGTAAAAATTAGGAGTCCACAACTTTGTGTTTGATATAAAGAGGTATTAAAGTGACAATGTCAATGCTCTCTGATGTGACTGGGTGCACCTAATGGAATTTAGGCCTAGTGGTCAAAAATAAAAACAGCATTTTGTGTGTCTAATGAAAAAAAACACGAAAAATGAACAAAACGCAAGAACATAGTAATCAATAGCTATTGTTTTGTTCTTGGATCGTCTCTCCCTACCCAACCAGTGCAAGGATTCTCTGTTTCATGGCCAGTATTACAAAGATAGCCTCTTCTGTACCTAACAAGTGTGGAGATTGCTTCTTTCTTTCTGGCTTTGCCTCAATTCTATCATGATACAACAAAGTCGCACAACATTCTAGTTCTAATCTAACCATTAATTTAAGTATTAATATCCCAAAACCTTGGATATAGGCTACCTTATGTATAAGCTACAGAAGCTAAACTTTACAGGAATGTTGTTGACTTTCTTATGGATAAGACATTCATAAATGAGCAGCAATGCACAGTCACAGTTTTAGGTACAACTCCAGAATAAAAACCAACAAGGTAGGAACAGCATCACTTTTGAAGTACTTTTGACAACACACAACTTTTACAAATAAGTTTGGAACCTTATACAGACTTTAGCCTATACCCAAGGTTTTAGGGTAGATAAAAATAAGATTGTTAAAGTATTTGAAATAATTCATAATCATTAAATTTTATAAACAAAAGCAATAAAACATTAGAAACTGAAATAAGTTCTTTATCAATTCATCATTTCTGAACTATATTTGATTGTTTTTTCTATTTTTAAGCAGTATATTCCATAAAAGAATGTACAGTCGATTCCATTTAATTGGGCCATTGATTAATCGGGGCAGCCGCTTTATTGTGCCAAATCTCAAAGAACAGAAACCAAACTAATAAATTAATACATAATTTAATCGCTTAATTGAGACAGTAGCGGAAATGGAATTTAGCATTTTTGATATATTTTAGGGACCTTCCGAAAATATTTAGACACTATGTACACTAATGTCATATAGGCCTAACAGTTGGCAGAGACAAAGCAATTTTGTCTTTTGCTTGGGCAGTTTGATTTTTCCGAAGGGGGTCAGCATAGTGGGATATATCACATGGGGATCCCGTCTGAGGCGATCCTGAATTCAAGCTACTGATCCTGCTCTGGATTAGACTGGACGATCTCCTTAAAAGTGAAAGGACAAAACTCCCCAGACAATTTTTCGAGGTCTCTCGACTGAGTTAGAAGACAGCTAGAGTTCCTTGGAAGGTATTGTGTGCATAACTATGTCTAAGTTAGGACAGCAGTCATCTGATTGTTCAGACCAGCATCCAGAGCTGGAGGATTCTACTGATGCTCCTGCCAAAGTAGCCCATCTCCAATTAAAGGAAACTGCGCTCAAAGGAAGACCGTAAGGTGACTTTTGGATGAACCATTTCCTTTCTCTCTTTTTAGTTAGAACATGTTCTAACTAAAAAGGGAGAATGAAAAAATTGTTTGATCAGAAATGAATCAAACAGTTAACCCTTGTGTATGTCGCTACTAATACTGTATTTGGCAACATTAGCATGATGCGAATCAGTTATCTATTGTTGTGAGTCTGACAAATTTATATTACAAATGTTTTCTGTATTTTAGTTTAATAAAGCATTAAAATAAGTACCTAATTATTATTTTTTAACTACTTATTTATTTACCTACGTATTACATATTTTATTTTAGAATTTATTATTAGTTCGTTTAATTGGGGCAGCTGCTTAATTGGGCCAAAATGGATTAGTCCCAATGTGTCCCAATTAAGTGGAATTGACTATATATATATATATAATCATAAAAAATAATATACATGTTGATTTATTTATATTTAATTTTACAAGCTCTTTCTGTAACTGCACTATTAAAACAACAAACATGGAACCATTAATTATGCAATAAAATATTTACTAATTGAACATTTTCAATCCTTTTCATTGACCTTCATCAGAAAATATATCCATTTTATAATTTAACAAGAAAGAACAAAATCAGTTTTAGAATATGGGCAGCTTTGTACTTATTAAATTATATAATGTATATATTTTCTGATGAAGGTCAATGAAAAGAACTGAAAACGTTTGACTAGTAAATATTTTAATGCATAATTAATGCTTCCATGTTTGTTGTTAATTTTACAAGTGCAAATTAGCTCAAATACTTCAAAATGATTCAAATTTTTATCTTAACTATATATTATAAATATACAATATATAAAAGTCATTGAATCCAAAAGTCGTTTTTGAGAACTAATAAATTATAAAAAAAGTTGCAAGTTCAAAAATGACCATTTATGTTTTATTTTATATTAAATCAAAAGTACCAAATTGCATTATACCATTCTAATAGCCTTGGTTAAATTTTTGAGATCAAACAGTTACTAATTTCATAACAAAGCTAACAATGAATAAAATAACTTTCATTTCATAAATACAAAATCTAATGATCAATTACTTAAACAAATTTATATAATCTATTTAAATTCACATGGCAAGTAATGGAGAAACAAATGAATAATCACAGCATGATTTTTGTCAGTCAAAAGTGTATAAGCTAATGAGTATCAATCAAAAATAAAAACACCGATTTTCTCAAAGGAAAAAGATATGAGAGTTTAAAAATTTTTTTTAAAATTTGCAATAATTATTAAATCCCTTGATGAGAATCAAAACTGCACCATCACAATAACAAAGATAATCATTTTCATTATTTAATTAATGTGATGCACTATAAACATACTAATTAGGCATTTGTTCTTACAGAAAATGAAAAAGTAATCAAAATGAAAACTATAAATCCTATTTTCAAATGCTCATAACTTTTCCTTTGAGAAAATCAGTGCTTTTATTTTTGAATGATATCCATTAGCTCACAAGCTTTCGAGGAATGTAAATTATGCTGTAATTATACATTTGTTTCTCCATTACTTGCCATGTCAGCCTCTATTCATACTTTCTCAGCTATTTATTCATATTTTTTGTAACAACTGTAATGATAGTGTGATTGATATATGATGTATGTTGTTTCTAAATATTGTGTATTGCATTATTTTGAGTAATTCATTGACTATTACATAATAATTACTTGCTTCTTTAAAAGTACTAGTTATTACTACTCATAATACAATCAATTTTATTTTACTGAATCATTTATTTATTGTATTTTACAAATCTGGAATATAATTGTATTAATTTTACAAAATTTATTTTTAGGATATTTTATTATTCAGATGTTTTTGTATATTCAATATATTTAAATATAGATAATTTTAGTTATTTATTTATAGTTTTTAAGTTTTGAATATTTATTTTTTTGTTTAGCTAAAATAGATAAACATAACCAAAAATATTAAAATATCAACAATTTTTGTTTTAGAAAAATGAGTTTCATTAAATTTATAACAATTTATTAAAATGTTTCAAAATTTTAAATTTCATTTAAGATAGATTCAAATTTCATTTTTAGTAAAGCTGAAAGCTTTTGAAAAATGAAATATCAATGCCAGTATTCTATGACTAAATAAAATAATTATAATAAAATAATTTTTATTTATTATTCAATATTAAAATATTTTAGACCAATTAACATAAATCATTCAAATATATAGAATTTTTCAACTAGCTTTATCATGCTTATATTTGATGTGATTGTCATATAAAATTATTAATAATGTATTTGCTTAATTTTTAATGTCAAATTAAAACAAATTTATACTAGTATTTTTTTTTGTAAAAAAAACTATACTAAAAAACGACATTATGAAATAATTTTAACTGTTTTTTTTTACAAAAAAACAATTAAAATTATTTCATAATGTCGTTTTAACTTAAGAAAATATTTTAAAAACATTGTTTATATTAATTTTATTTATTTATTTAATTGTTTAAAATACCTGTATTGTGATATTATTCAGCTTATTTTATGCAGAAGTATTCATAACCGAGTATTTCTATGCAATAATTCAATTAGTTTTTGATACTTTCGCCAAATAAAGATGATTATGATTATGATTAAAAAAAAAAAAATTAGTTTTTGATAACATGACACATGTAAAGTCAATATAAATTGTTATTTTTACATATTTATTTTGTTTTATAGATTAAATAGACAATAAAAAACAATGTTCTCATTGAAAATAGTTTCCTAATTTGATTAGTTTTAGAATTGGAAAAGAATTTCAATAATTGTTTATTCATTAAATTTTAATTCATTTCTAAAAGTTTAATACAATCAACCTGCATTAATACAAATCGCTAGGAAAACTTTATAGAAAATTCATATTAATGATTTTTAGGGTCAAGGTCATATAATTTTGAGCATTAAGGCTTAATAGGCAATAAAAATATCTAAATTTTAATATTTTGAATTATACTACTAAATAAAGTTAAATAAAATTAAATTTATTTACAAAAACAAATTAATGTTCTAAATGATTTTAAAATCACTGTAAGCACTCTTCAATATGCAAATTAGCATGTGTTTGTATGGGACAGAACCTGTTTAAAGAGATGGACATTCTTAAACATTAATCTCTATTTTCTGAGTACCGTAGAAGGATACACTAAAACCAGATGCTTGAATTGGTCTACATTTGGAAGTTTGTTATCCTTTTTATATGTCAGTGATAAATGATATGTGAATTGTTTACAGTATTTTTTTAAACAGGGGTAATGTTAATAAACATTTTGCATACAATTGGAGGTCAGATCCATCTTTGCTTACTTGGAGAAGAAAATCTTTTCTATTCAAAATAGATCATTTATTACAGTACCACTTTTTATTATTCATGTTGAAAAGTGTAAAAAGGAACCATTATTGGAAATAGGATTGTTTCTTGGGGGTTGTGAAGGTAATTTATAGTTTGATTTAATGAATTCTGGTAAAATTTTGTTTGCTTTATTGCATGAAAACAATGTTGTGATAACAGCAGTTTGTGTAGGCAACAGCAAAATTTGCTTTATCAGTGTTTGTTTTAAGGTGAGTTGACTGTATATTTTTATATAATAAATAATATAATCAAAAATAAAATAAATAGATATAAATAAAGACTTTGATACTAAAGATCTAAAATCTGAATTATTTAAGGTAATAACTGTGTTATTAATTAAATATTCAAATTTCATTAAAATTAATATTCAAATTTCATTATCTGACCTAAAGCCAGATGGTTAGGTAACCATCTTGTGATAATAACAATAGGTTTTTGCTTTAAATACTAACCTTAAATATTTGCACACTGGTTCACAAACTAGCTGAAGCACAACACCTGTTGGATCTAATACTCTTAGTGCTTTGATTGCAGAAATATATGCTGTCAAAATATCTGTTGTATTCACACCTAAAAAAAATTATTTATGTAACATAAAACAGAAATGAATTAAAAAAGTTTTCAATGAGTATGAACAATAAAAAATTTAATAAATAAAATAAATTTTTATAATGCTGACATTTCAAAATTATAAATGCACAAATTTATAAAACTTGGCTTCATTCATTAAATTTCAGCAACATTATAAATAACAAAAAAATGTTTGCCTAACAAATTTTAGATTCGATTTAGTAAATTTCAGTTTTATTTCTAATGTCCTAACTGTACAAAAGGCATTGTAATTTAATATATTCCAATCTCAACTATACAATAAAATTATATCATTCCAAGTTTAGTAAATGACTAAAGACATCTTAAATGTAAATGAATAAAAAATATTATCTTTTTTAAAAAACTTATCATTACATTATAATCTGATATTTATAATATTTCATACACTATACATATCATGTATTTTACATTTACAAACAGCAGAAACTATAGAAATGCATTTCAAGTTCCTTAAACAGTAATTAATTCCTAATATGAGAGTTACATAAACTTTTTATGTTTCATGGAAATAAATGAAATTAGGCTCTGAGAACAAGTAACAAGAAATACAACTTTGTTATAGAAATTAAAAACATTAAACCAATAAAATTGGAGATTACTGTAATATTATTACCAGGATGTAGAAGTCTTGTTTCTAAGGATTTCTTTAATGAACAAATTAGTTTAGGTCGAAGATTTGTTCTTTCTAGACATTCACGAAGATCTTCTAATGCAGCCTGAGATTCAGGAAATTCAATCACAATGTTAAAAAGTTGTTCAAGTCTAACTTCAGTATATTTTTCAAAAACGGCATGAATAAGTTGCTCCTTAAAAATATATAAACAAGTTCTTAAAATTACATCATTATAAATTAAAAAATATATTGTGTTAGAAGTTTATTAAATTATTTAATATCAAAAACATACTTTAAGAATGGACATGATATTTTTCTTTGGAGTTTCATCATCTGATGAAGTACTTTTCTGATATACTATTTGCAACCATGTAAGAACAGTATCTTCAAGCCACTGTAAATGTAATATAATATCATACATAAATATTAAATATTTAAATAAAATAAAATAATTTTCTAATAAACATACTTCTTCTAATACTGATAAATAAGATACTTCAAAATTTCCTCTACATGTATCTTGAACAAACTGTTCAATATGCTGTTGAGCAACATTAATAGCTGCATCTCCTACTACAGATTCTAAAATTTCTAGTTCATTTCTGTTTTGAAAAATAAATTATAAATCAATAAAATTAAAAATAATATCAAGATATATTTTATTAAAATATAAATAATGAAATTTTCTAGTTTGTTTGTTTCACACTCAGAAGGGGCCAAGGGCCCTAGGGACCTATTTTGAGCTCTTCCGATAACTCAACGAGAACAATACATGGGACATTCAATAAGTCTCCTCAATGATAGGCAGTTAATGAACCTTAGACAAATCACTATTCTCTGCTTCATGTTAAGTGGGTTTTGCTATGGGTAATCAGTTGAGATATGTCTGGGTTCCATGCTATCAATGGCTGTTACACCTTAACCAATCACAATTTAGTTAGCATTATCTTTTTGTCACATGACTTGCAATCTGCTGTTTCCATGGCTACAGAATACTAAAAACCACGCGAAGCATGTGTTTTTAGTATTCTGTAGCCAAATTTTTTTGTTAAAATGTCATCAAAGAAGGGACAATGCAGCAAGCAAACCACAACTTGTCAGTTTGAGATATTAGTTAAAACACTTCAGCTCTAGCCAGGGCTAGATTTAGGCATTTCGAGACCCTAGAAACTCTGTGTGAGACCCTTTACCAACACTTTACAATTTTAGAAATCAATTGTATATAAAAGAGTATTAACATAAACATATTCGTTTTAATAATAAATGTTTTACTGTTAAAAAGTATTTGCAATATATTATAAAAAAAAAGGTACAATTTAAAAAGGGAAAGACTAAAAATGTCATTTTTGTCATTTTTTGATGGCAAGAAAGCTAGTAAAAGCTAAGAAAGCCATCTATAAAAATCAAATAAATTTTATATTAAAAATAACAAATCACTAAAAATGTAATATAAACAATATTGGTTATTAATATAATTAAATTCTACACAAAATAAAAAGTAAAATATATTTTATTGCTCTGTACAAAAAATTATTAAAAATTTGACTTCAATTTTATTTTTTGTAGACATTTTTGAGCTCTCTTGAAACTCAAGGCCCTAAGCTACAGCTTGCAATAGCTTACTTGTAAATCCAGCCCCGACACTAGCTTTTCTCGTAATTCATTGCATAAATGTAATAGTAATGGCTTCAGAAGACGACAAAGTTCTTTAAAGCATGTATCATTCAGCTGAAAAGCATTATCTCAAAGACAAAAAACCAAGATTCATGACATCCAATGCTAATTTTCTCTATCTCCAATTACTCATGAAGTAATATCATCCTTACACCTAAAGTCATCAGATTCTTTTCACTTTTGTTACATTCTTAACAGCATCTCGAGAATGATCGATAAGGAAAGCTTAGTTATCGCATGTGGCTATTGGAACTGAAAATGAAACATAAGAATAGCATTTTTACAGTTGATTAAATGCAATCACATGGTTCTGATAGAAACTGGTTTTTATTGAATTCATTAGCTTAACAATACAACTCAGAATATGTCCCCTGGAACCCCCAAAGTAAAAAAACAAAACACTAATAAATTTTCCAAAAATCTTTTCCTAATTCAAATTCATTTTTTTTTATTCATATTGTGTCATGTCTATGCTACTTATGATTAGCCATTACACAAGGTAAGAATTTTATTGAATTTGCATTAAAAAGTTTTCTATCTGTTCAACATGGCTTCTCCAAGATTAAATTTTGTGTGCACCACTGATTTGTACAGTCGACCCCCCTATAAGATATAGATACGTTCCAATTTATTAGGAATCCGATTTCTTACAAGTCGTTCCAATCACAGCCCGACACGTGTCAAGTTTACGGACTACGGCTGATTGAAAGGTTTTCTTCCATAAAATTAATCGATTCTACACTAATCCGACTCAACATTTCCAAAATACGTATATTTTTTCGTAGTTTTATAGGAATCGTAATTATAGGGACCGTAATTATAGGGGGGTCGACTGTATAATAAATGAATTCATAGTATAAATTAATTTTAAATATACAGTGGTGCCTCATATAACATACTTAATCCGTTCCAGGTGCATGTCTGTTAAGTGAAAAGTCCGTTATAAGAAACGCATTTTCCCATAGAAATACATGTTAAAATATATAATTCGTTCCACAGCATAAAATAACCATACTGTACCATAAAAAAACCAAAAATGGAGCAGTCACCAATTATGCAGGGTAGTCAGATGTTGTGAGGAGGAGGTGGAAGAACACTTTCTTTACACATTCATACAGATACAGACTTTTTACACATTGCAGCAGGTCTCTTTTTATTGTTTTTTAATCAGCGTCAGATTCAGGAGAGGCTACCAGAGCTTGCAGGGTCATCTCCTCTTGTTCCATCCTTTGTTTTTTGGCAGCTTGCTTCTTGAAAAACATGCCCAAGGTGGTCTGTTTCTCTCTCTTCTTCAACACTTGTCGGGAATGATGGACAAGGGTGTCATTGTAGAGATCATTGATCCTGTTGACCTCAGCTCTGTTTGGATAATGAGTGTTGGTAAACTCCTTAACCTCTCCCCATTTGACAAGGAAGTTTTTGTCAACTTTCACTCCTTCTGATGATGTCTTTCTTTGTTTCAATTGAAATCACCTTTCTGTTTTTTAGAAGCCATGATTTGCACAACACTTGAATAAATGTAAATACCCTGCAGTAAGGTGACAAACGCAATAAACAAGGGAGCATGCCGAATCCCAACGGGAGCTCTGTACTTCAGATATACTAATAATATATTCTAATGATACTAATATATTATAAAAATAGCAGATTGTCACTGGCAACGCCAAAAGAGTGAAAACATCATTCGCACTTGTTTGCAGAAAGACCATTGTTCGCCTCATGTAACTGCCAAACGGAAAGTCCGTTGTTCGCAGTGCCCGTTATTCGAAGCACCACTGTATATATATAGTATATGTATAAATTATGATTTATATTAAAAAATTATTGAGCAATAATTTTCAAATAAATGACATAGCTATTTTCAGAATATGCTGACTCCATGGACAGAGTAAGTAAAAATACACAATTGTTAAACTGAATAACGGAGCCAAAATTTTAATAGATTTAATGTTTTTCAGGACTACTCCATTCCAATTTTCAAATTTTCTAATTCAAATGTTCTAATGATCTGATGACAGGACAGGGAAGTCCTGAAAACATTTAATATAATAAAATTTTGTTTCCTTTACTCAGTTTAGTAATTGTAAAACTTTTTACTTGTTAAATAACAGGAACTTGAAACAATAATAAGTTTATTTATTTAAATTAAAGCTTCAATAATATTTGTTAATATAATTTATGCCATATAGATATTTTGATGATTTTTATATTCATTCTAACATTATTGTCAAGAGAACAGCTGACTCAATAACTAGTTTCAGATTACTATGAAACATAGTATCAAGAATAATAATAATAAGTTTGTTAATACATTCTTAATCAGAGACTTGAAATAAACTTTCAATTTCTAAATTTATAAGCAAGTTTTATTCAGTTTATAAATGCACTTTAAAAGTTTTAAATAGAATAAATTCATTAAAATCAAATAATTGTATGATATATGAATTTTTAACTTTAATTGAATTTTGAATTCTAGTTAAGTGTTTTTATTTCTTTAATATATAACAGTGTTTTTCAACCTGTGGGTCACGACCCCAGGGGGGTCGCGGGTAAAAGAAAAAGACAAGTGTTTGTAGGTCCTACACTACATTAAAAAAACTACAATTTCAGTGAAAATTACGACCACCCCAGAAAATGATAGCCGAAAAAGTGTTGAGCTGATTTGCAAAAAGAAATAAAAAGTAGAAAAGTAGAAGCTGAAAATTCTGATCCTAAAAAAGAGGAAAAAAAAGAGAAAATGTCAACAGCTCCCTGTGCCGAATGTTATAATTAAAGGAAGTTTCATACTTTATGTGTGTTAAGTTATTGTCGATTCTTCTGAAATTTTCATTTTAATCAACAATAATTTGTCTCAACAGAAAGAAAATTAAATACATAGTTTTTAAAATCACTGATATAGATTTAATATGGCCCTAGGGGGTCACCAGAATTTTTTAACTTGTAAAGGGGTCACATATTCAAGAAGGTTGAAAAACACTGATATATAAAAACCTTCCTGTTGTAACACTTACTTCTTGATTTAGAATTTTTAATTATACATTAGACAAATATATACAAGATATGGGAATATTTTCATTTCTTCATTAATCTATAAAATCAAAATAGTTTGAAGCCTGTTTTTGCCAGATAGACTTGAAAATGATAGATACAACAGAGATTAAGGTGAAAAGATAAAATAAGAAATTACTTGCAAGAAAAGGGTTCTCCAAATGAAGATATAGAAAGAGTGATTGCAACAAATCATAGATATAGGCAATATTAGCCAGTTACTGTATTTTCCTAGTAACTAAAAAAAATATCTGAAAAATTCTATTTAGTTTCCAAACTTATCAGTTTATTAATTGCAATAAATAGAAAGTATTTAATTTTACTGATAACAATTAATTAAATTGATTTTTCTCAAACAGTTTTACTGGCCAGCCTTCAACTCAGGCTGGCCAGTAAAACTGTTTGAGAAAAATACTACTCTGGGAGACCAAAAAATTGATCTATCCTGGATATGTTGGATCCTGTCCCTTACTACCCGACTGGCCTGGTTAATTTCACAATGGGATTGGAATAAAAAGGCCTCTCAATGTCAGTAGGCAGAAAACATCCAAAGAAAAAAATAAAGAATATTTCAAATCACTCCACAAAACCTTCAAAAACACCAGTGCAAAAATATATATTTAAAATAAATATGTTGAGACAAATGTTTTTGATCCAATTAGGATCTGCTTCAGGTCATTAATATTCAAAAGAATTAGAATGCAGGACGTTCGAATTTAAATATTTTAAAATTGCTGAAACTGTAAACCTTATAACCAGTATACTGCAAAAATCACACTAAGTGTTAACTTTAACATTAAAACTAAAATAAAAATTAACACAAAAATTAACAAATACATTTTTAAATTGTATGTGAATGAAGAAACACACATCTTAATATGCCAAAGGAATTTCACTTTTATTAGTTAATTATCAAAAATTGACTTAAATTTAATCATTTTAAAGAAAAAAATTAAATACAATAAAATGCAAAAAATAACAATTTGATAAATGGTGTATTAATTAATAATAAATTGACCTGTAAAACAGTTTCTCTTGCTCTAGCTACTACAGAAATAGTTAATTTCCTACTGATTTTTGTTGTGAATATACTCGTTTAAATTAATAAAAGCTATTTTCTGAAAGTATAGAGCACATTGTGTGTGATACACATAAGATTTTGATGTGAAGTGCCTTTATACATAGATATTGTTTTAGATCTAAATTTATCAAAGTATTAAAACAATAAACACCAACTTACCAGAAAACTGGAACTGTTCATGTAAATAAGAAATTACACAATATTACACAACATAATTAAGAATTACATCAATGCAAAATTTCCAGCAAAGAAAATCAATATTCTAACTTTTTTGGCCACTATTTCATCGTACCTCATCAGGAACTGTAGAATGGAAAAACCGTTCTATAAATATAATGCCTTTGCATTCTAATGTTAAAAATTTCAAATAAGTTTGAATAAAGGCTGTGACATATGTTATATGATGTATATTATGAGTCTAAATAGTATTTCCATGCATTTGGTACATGAATGGCATCCATATTGATGCATGCTCCATTCCTGTCCGCCTTGTAGATCTCTACAGCTTCTAACGTTTTGCCAGTTGAAGATCCTGTGTATTAGGGTAGCTTGGTCCTAACAGGGAAATCCCTGGATTGCTGAAACTTTTAACATTAAAATGCAAAGGCATTCTATTTATAGAACGGTTTTTCCATTCTTCAGTTCCTGACAAGGGCCGATAAAATAGTGACCAAAAACACTAAAATATTAAATTTCTTTGCTGGAAATTTTGCATTGAGGTGTAATTTCTTATTTATCGAAGTATCTGTTTTCTATGAAATTTCTTTAGATACTAATTAAAAAGTACTTTTCATACTTCACATTTTACTAATAGTAAAATTCAAGGTTAGAGTCACTAGAGTCAGAAGAATTTTATCAACTCTGACTCCATTCTAAAATATCTGACTTTGACTCCAGAACACTGGTTATGAGTAAACCAAAAATTGTTTTTGAGTTCAAACAATCGGTCACACTTGCTAAGGACACAATCTAACAATTAAATGTTAAATATAATTGGCAATAAATACATTCTATATAACAATATCTAATAATTTTATTTATGTTTAATTATATCTTTAGTGAAAGTCATTAGCACCAAAAATGAAAATGAAACTAACTTTCTACTTATCTGCTCAGTCTGATATTATTATTCTAATAAGGTTAAAAAAATGATTTAATAATAAATCAAATAAATAAAAATTAACAATAAAAATAAAATCAGTTCTTATTAATTTTTTGAAGACAAAGTCCTACCCAAAAAATAGGAACCACCATTTATTAACGGTGTTCCAGACATTACACTTTTGGTGACTGACCTTCTCTTTTAGGCTACTTGCCGCAAAACAATCCTTTAAAAAACACAAATATATATCCAGTTAAAAATTTTTAACTGGATATACAAGGTCTGTTCAAAAAGTATCGGACCTTATTTTTTTCCGCGTAAACCAATGATGCGCGAGAGGCCTCCTTTGGTGGAGCTGTGGAGGGGACAGTCATGCACATATCTGAATTTTTTCCCGCCTGCAGATGAGTGAGGTCATGTAGAGCGCTCTCGTCGGATTCCACTAAGCTGAAAAATGACTGAACAACGCGAGCAGCGGTATTACATCAAATTTTGCCAAAAACCTTGACGATACCCTAGTGTAAATCATTCGCAAGATTCAGCAGGCTTTCGGGGACGATCCTCGAGGCCAAAAAAAAGCGCGGCAGGTCTGCAGCAATATCAAAGGTCATGTTGACAGTTTTTTCGACTCTCGTGGGGTGGTGTGTCGTGAGTACGCACCACAAGGCCAAACCATCGCAAAGGAGTACTACCAGGAGGTCCTTCGTCGTCTTTCCGATACAGTGCGACGCAAACGACCGGATCTGTGGTTGATCAAAACTTGGCAGCTCCATCGTGATAACGCATCCGCCCATTCTGCGCATCTGATTCAGGCTTTCATCGCCAAACACAACACTCCTGTGGTTCGTCACGCTCCGTAATCTCCCCACATGGCTCCATGTGACCTTTGGCTATTTCTCAAGCTGAAAATGCCGCTAAAAGGAACCCAAATTTAGTCGAGAGAAGACATCATGCGAAATGTGACGGACCGGCTGATAACCATTCCAAAAGATGCGTTCCAGCAGTGTTTCCAGCAATGGCAGGAACGCTGGGAGAAGTGTATACATTACCAAGGAGACTACTTTGAAGGGGATTAGGGTTTTGTACCTCAAAGTCAATAAATTTATTTTTGCCGACCAAAGGTCCGATACTTTTTAAACAGACCTTGTATATTTGTTTTTTAAAGGACTGTTTGGCAAAGTATGACTTTGTCTTCAAAAAATTAATAAAAATCAGTTCTAAATGAATATTACAATACTACCTCAATATAATTTTTGCTTCCTTTAAATGTGGTTGATTATTTTGTATTGTATTAATAATAAATTCACCCTGTAAAACAGTTTCTCTTGCTCTAGCTACTACAGAAATGTTGGTTTAAACTGTAATCACCTAAACAGCATTACATTATTGTATTAAAGACATAAGTACCTACAAGGTAGAAGTTTACCTTGGTAGTCTCAATGGTGGCACATCCAGAATCTCAACAACAGGCAAGTGTTGAAATACGATCTAGGTGGCACTGATCATACTAACATATTAATATGCAAATTTACACCCCTGTACATCAATTGCCCTGAATGAGAGATTCAAGCTGTTATTGATCGGAGACACAACTGTTAAAGGAATCATACCTGTGCTGGTGACCCTTGCAAGATATAGCCCCCCAAATTGGGTTGTGCGAGCTACTAAAGGGTGCTGCTCTGTTGGAGGTGTCATGTGCTCCTTGCTTTGCTCAGCTGCTTGCAGCATTGGGTGGGCGGTTGTGGCCGTCCCCCAAAATCCCAAGGCAAAATTATCATGCTTGGCATCAGGTCACGCTTGAACAGTTGTGTCTTCGGTCAATAACCCACTAATCACTTACCCATAGGGACTACAAATTGAAAACCAAGATGAATAGCTTGTTGATGTCTATTTCTGAAAACTTGAATTCCAATTTATGAAAAAAAATCTCTTGAAGTGCACTGTTTCCAAAATTATTTGGAAACTTTCACAACTTCTGACATTATTTTGTTATAGGAAAATTAACACAACTTCTATTAATTAAAATTTTAAATTCCATAATAAAAAAAAAAAAACAAACTTTCAAATTTAATTAACACTATTATAATACTGCAACAATTTACTTTTGTAGCATTTAATCTCAAACTCAAAATTTTGAATATTAATAAATTATTATGATCAGCACCACCTAGATTGTATTTCGACACATGCCTGTTGTTGAGATTCCGGATGTGCTGATATTGGGCTACCAAGGTAAACTTCTACCTTTTTTATTAACAACAATTAAAAATAATATGAAAAGTAATCCCTGAAAACTATTTATTGTTTAAAATCATTCATTTTTATACATTCAAGTTCTATAAACATTTTTAATTACTAAAACTGCATACATTAACATAAAAACAAATTAGAATTAATGAGTGTAAAATTAAATGGATGACACAAAAATGTGTGTGTAGGAAACAGAGAACAAACTTAAAAATCATAATTTAAAAAGATGATACAAAATAATCAGAGAAATAATCACAAAATGAGAATAAAAGAGCATTAAAATGTCTGAAGAAAACAAAAAAAAAAAAAAAAAAAACTCTGTCGATTGTCTTGAGTAAAGAAATAAAAGTTGATTGAGATACAATAATCCTATTGTAGAGAAGATTGAATATCCAATAAATAAGCAGTCAACTGCATATAGCTTAAGAAGAAAAAGAAAAAAAGTGGATTTAATAAATAACTGAAAAAACTAACTTAAATCCATAAACTGAACTCATGGAAAATAAAAAGCCATTTTAAGACAACAGATTAAAAAAGATATTAAAATCAAAAAATTTCCAAGTAAAATTCAGCATTTTTAAACCAGGTACACTTGTTCCAGTATATCTGAATGTGTAGATGAAAAAAACTGACAGTTCTGTAATCCATATGTTCATGTATACTGATATATCTGTACCTGTCTTTAGACTATGGAATTTTGGAATTTAATCCTTATAATATTGCTAGAATTTCTACAAAATAAGATTTATAAAAACTATAAAATAGAACTTACAACTGAGTAGTAATTTGTTGAAAAGCATCTAAAAGTTGTTGACAACAACAATTATCTGGTTCACATTCACAGCCACAGCATTGAAGAGGATCATCACTCTCTTCTTCCTCTGAAACAAATAAAATTATATCACAATTAATAAATAAAAATAGCATATTTTTCTTCAAAAATAATTCTAAAGTTTTAATACTTTTGATAAGATGAAAATTGTCCTTTTATATTTTAGTACAATGAAATTTGTCTTTACATTTCTATTTGACAGTAAATCCCAACACACAATTTTTACTATTAGTGATTTGATCGACTAATTTCAGCTGTATTCAAAAAGGCATGTCTTCATTTATGTAAATATGATTTTATATTAGATATAAATAACTTTATTACTAATAATTTAACCATTTTTGTTTTATTCATTTAATTGATTAATAGCTTATAATGGAATTAAATATATAACCTAACAAAAATAAACAAAGTGATAAATATAAAGATTGTACAGTTAATTAATAATGAATAATATTATGCAAAACAAATATAAATGTTTTTGAAGTAATGTGAAAGTATTACTTGAACAGAGTTTTAATATTCAATATGCATAGTAACATTCATATTCCTTTTTCCTTTATATTGAAAATACAAGTATAATCATATCAGAAGTCTAAGCTCAAATCATATTACTAATTAAAGAATTATTATTACTGAGAATTATTATTATTATTACAAGCCAGATTTATTACTGAGCTACATTTTATATATTTAGTTAAATCTGGCTTGATTTTTCACTGAAGATATATAATAGGATTTTAAGTTTAATAGCTAAAAACATTCTGAATAACAATTGCATTCAATTATTTAAATCAAAATAATCATACTTTCAGTAATACTTAGTATTACTGAAAGTATGATTAATTTATAAAAGGAGTATTATAAATATCATTAAATGCTTTTAAAAATGCTGTTTAATTAATTTTACTTACCTAAATTATTCAATTTTTGTTTAGAATGAAATACTTTAAACATTCTTGTATAAAAATCTGATAGTATAGAATGAAAATGAACAGGTATTTTAACTAAAAGAAGAGATCTTAACATTAAATACATTTTTTTCTGAATAACAGGGTTTAATACATTTTGTATAGTTATAGAATTTGTGGATTTATTTGAAATTTCTGAAACAAGATATTCCAATTGCATCATTAACATCATAAACAATTTTACAGATTGATAGAGTTTGTTAATTGCTTCTGGTAGCATCCAAATATCTTTTCCATTAAAATGATTCCAAAATTCAGGAATAATTACATCTCTTAAATTATTTTGATATGTCTCCAAAAACCAATCTTTAATAATATGCGAAATGCCATGATTATGCAAAACACCAATAGCTTCTTTTAGAACTTGTTCAGAAGGTTTCTCTTTTACCTGCTATTAAAAAAAATTCAGAATTAAAATAATATATTGTCAAAAAATTTTAATAAAAAGAAAAATAAAGCACAATAATCAATATTACTCTAAATTAAAGAAATAAAAAGTTTATAAAACTAGAGATATTTAAATTTGTTAATTTTTTTGTTAAGATTGCTGAAAACACCAAGTTGCATTGAGAATTAGAAATTTCCAGCACTCATCCTATAAAATTCTATAATTATGCTTTGTATTGCAACTGTTCTATTGCAACTACAAGAGAACTGTGTTGCACACTAATTAAATTATATAGATACACCCAATATTTCCTATTCTTCCTTCTGTTCTTCAAATACAATACATCGCAACATCAATTTTACTTTTAAGGTTCAGAGATATGCTGTTTTTTTATATTATAATATATATTCCAGTCTGTGCTTGAACCAGGGCTGTGGAGTCGGAGTCAGAGTCGTGGAGTTTTGATGTTTTAGCCGGAGTCGGAGTCATCAAAAAAACCGTCGACTCAGACTTCTTTTTACTTCTTAACTTGTAATGTATATAAAACGGAAAAGTATTGGAATCGTGTCAAATTTGACCCTCCAAATTTCTTTTGCAAATCTACACATTTGGAGACCTCCTGAACCCCTAAAAAAAGTCAACAAAAAGGAAAAAATTCGTGCGAGTGTGTGTGTTGGCATCTAATTTGTTTAATTTCTTTATTTTCTGTTCTGAGATATTAAACAATATCTCAGAATTCTGAGATATTGTTTAATATCTCAGAACTTTACCCATTCTGAGATATTAAACAATATCTCAGAATGGGTAAAGTTTAAGAAACAAAATGTGGCACTGTAGCTTGTGTATAAAGGGGCATTAGAGAGGTTGAGGCGCACGTTTTAAACGTGTAAACGTGTACGTGTGACGTTCGGCGCCGCTTTCCCGTAAGCCTAAAAGTTTGACAATGGTGTTTGGATAGTCGGTGGAATCACGCTCGACATTCCAAACACCATCGTCAAACTTTTAGGCTTATGGGAAAGTGGCGCCGAACGTCACACGTACACGTTTACACGTTTAAAACGTGCACCTCAACCTCTCTATTAATACTATTAAATTTTGGTTCTTAATTAAAGGTCGACAGGGTGAAGACACAAAAGTGGTCATGTGTCATATCTCTTAATGAATATTTTACTCGTTACTAGCACTCAAAATTAAAAAACTAATAATAATAAAATAAAACTCGTCTCTACCCTCAAAGAAAGCTTTTTTGTCATTTTATAATAGTACAGTAAAACCTGTTAAGATGTTCTCACCTAAGATGTTAGAATGTATATGGGAACATGATTTAGTTCAACCACTTTGAAGCTTAATAACTAACTCCTGTGTTAAACCATCTGACTCTGATTCTGACCACTCTGACCACAGAAATTATTAGGCTTCAAACACGGTGAATGAAATTGTGCCCGCACACACAGTCTAACATCCACACATATAGGAAAAAACCTTTTTCTTGAATCTTTGAATCTTTTGTATATCTCGAAATTTCAAGGTGTCTTGAGTCCAAAAATGTAAAAATTTGAAAGGGGTCATTTTTTTGACTGAGTGCTAAAAGTAAAAATTATCGAATACATATTTATTTATGTATATTATACTTATATACATATATATTACTTAGAGGAGTCTTATAACTTAGGAATAAAAAGTTTCTACGTTCTATCTTTATTAGAACTCTATTTATTAAATCTTTTATTCTGAGGTCACGTGATGACATCAGAATTTCCAGGTCTCTTTCAGTAACAAGTCCGCCCCTGATCAGAGTCGGATGGTAAGGAAGAGTCGGAGTCGGTACATTTTTATGCGACTCCACAGCCCTGGTTTGAACACCATCATCTTCACTCAAAGAACTTGCAATTATGACCGACTTAAAGAATGTCATTTGCTGAAAGTTCATATTGCTTTGGTGTTCACAAAAATTATCTTAGGATAAGTTACATATTGCAATGACCTACAATAAAAACTGACATGCAGCTAGCCTTAAATCTTAAAAGGAAAATATTGTGCTATAATATTAAATTTATTACAGTAAAACCTGTGCAAAACTGAAGCAATCTTCAAAACGGAGTGACTTTCTATGTTAAAAAAACCCGTCCAAACGGAACAGAAACCTGCCTAAACAAATATTTGGTACTGTGGATTCCGGCTTACACAGGTTTTACTGTATTACATTGTCCAAAGAAATATCGAATAAGGGATAAGTTGGTAAATGTAGAAGAGTTACGAATAACGAGAAAATAATGTTACACTGTATAATTAAAAACGTAATATATGCTTACAGGAAAATGGAATGCTTCGGAAATAACCGTCCAAGCAGCACTTAGCGACCGATAATCCACCATGTTTTTGAATTAATTTAGAAAAACTATCGGCAGATGGCGTTGGTATTCGTATTCGTATCGTAAACGTGAAATGTTGCGAAGATTGAAACTTTGAATGTAAATTTCAAGTAAAAAGAAATGAATTCAGAATTAATATTTGTAAGTTTTAGAATGTTTTTCTGTCATTTAAAGAATATTAAGATAATTAAGAAGTTTTTACGTATAAAAATGTACCCAAGCTATGTACGAGATCATACTCAATTGAAATATTCGTTTAGATCAAAATGCTTTTGTTTTGAAGAAGTTATAAACTATTTTTTCATTTACTACACAATCATAAGTTATACTAATTCTACAACATTACCTTGATACAGATTTGATAATCGTTATACAAAGCATTCAAATAAAGACCTGTAGGCTTAATGAATCACAATACATGTGTGTGTATCCAAGGATTATAACTTGTAACTAGATAGAAATGCCATAATTATGAATAATAATACTGAATAATTTGAAATCCTATTGATTTCTTGTGAATTCAACTACTCAAAACAATAGGATTTCAAATTATTCAATATTTTAATAATTATTATTCATAAGTATGACATGTTTATCTAGTTACATGTTATCATTCTTATATATAGTTAAAATCAATTTTACAATAGATCAGTGGCATGCAATCCATGGAAGCTGTGGAAGTGCCACTTCCCTTGTATTTTCTAAAATATAAATACGTATTGTGTGATTATTTTCATAAACAAGTTCTTATATCTTTGTTTCATGTCGATGTATCTGTTTTAGAATTGAAATAAACTGTTTATATTTGCCATTTCCAATATTTGTTTATAATTTTTATGGAAACACAGCTTCCCTATCATCAAATGTCACTGCATACCATGCATATGTAGCTAGAACTATTTCTAAGATTATCAGCACAAAACCTTTCTTACTAATTTCTAGCCGTATTAACAGGAGTACAAACGTTTTCGGCCTTCTTAATAGGCCTTCCTATGGTACACTGTGTCGTAAGAAGGCCGAAAACGTTTGTACTCCTGTTAATACGGCTAGAAATTAGTGAGAAAGGTTTTGTGCTGATAATCACTGCATACCACTGCAATAGTTCCTTTTTTGGAAAAATTAAAAAATATATATTAATAATTTATTATAATTTTTAAATTATGAATATTTTTCTTTGCACACATTAATTATCAAATTAAATTAAGACCAGATATGCTAAACAATTTAAAATATTTTATCTTAAATTAGAATTTTAAGTGAATTAAGAGAACTTTTGTTTTGATTTTCTGTTTTTTATTATTTATTTATTATCTAAAAAAACAATGATTAGAATTAATACTAATCAAAACTCTTGCCATAATTAATCAGGTTACTATTATACTATAATTAATAATTATAAACTAGGTAATTTGGTACTAGAGGTAGACGTTAGGCACCATCTCTTATCTAAATTAATAATTATAATAATTTTAGTAAATAATTTAGAACATTCTGGAAGAAAATAACTAGCTTGGACCGGGACTTGAACCTGCAATCTCCATTTACTGTTTGGTGTGCTTGCCAGTTATGCACCACACAGTAATTTAATTAAATTAATTTAGATAAAAGATGAAGCCTAATGTCTACCTCTAGTGACAAATTACTTAGTTTCTAATTATTAATTATAGCATAATAGTAGCTCAATTAATTACAGTAAGAGTTTGCATTAGTATCAATGCATTGGGCTTTAGGATGTTGATATATAATGATTAGAATTAATATTATTTAATATTATATTTTCTAATGCTAATTAATTTCAAATATGTTTCAGTGTTGTTGTTGAAATTTAATAATTCTATATTTTTTAGAATGAAGATGATCTCCCTTATGAAGAAGAAATTCTTCGTAATCCTTACTCAGTAAAACATTGGATGAGGTATATAGAATTCAAAAAAGATGCTCCTAAACAAGTAATTAATATGATCTATGAAAGAGCATTGAGAGAGTTACCAGGAAGGTAAGCTATGAAATAATTTGGAATTTTGAATGTTCTTTTAAATAGAAAATTCAAAAATAATTCTAAAATCATTAAGAAGTAGAAATTGCTTTAAATTAATGGGATATATGGAAAACAGAAAAAAATAAAAAATTTCATGTTTTAGTACATTTGAGCTCTATTGCTCAAATGTAATAGAAATTCTTTTAAAAGACCTGTTGCCATTGAAGCAAAATAATAAAACATCCTTAAGGCAAAAATGATGTTACCTTTACATTAGATTAATCTTAAAAAATAAAATAACAATACAAATTTTATGAATCACATAAATATACTAGAAAGGCTCTATTTTTGTCTCTTTTTTGTTTTTTCTACTCCATTAAAGGTTTTTCTATTTATCCTTTTAAACAGATATTTAAACATATTCTATTTTTAATTTTGATATATTTTTAATAATACAATAAACGCTCAATTTAAAAGACTGGATTTAATGGTCAAAAGAGTTTTCATTTATTATATTTAGGTCCTTGTTGACTCCAGGCTCTGAACTACTTTCTGTCATTGTATTTCTGCCATTGGGAAATATTACATATCTACAAAAAACTTTTTATTTAAATCAAAAATATATTTTAAAATATTTATATCAGTTTGGCTTTTCTTCAATTCATTTAAGAGTTTATTTTAAAAACCATTACAAATCTACATAGAAATTTTTAAGTGGTTATTCTTTGTTTGAAAACATTACAATTTTTCTATGATTTTTGTATAAATATTATTGTTTTTATGAATTTATAATGATTTTGTTAAATTAACTCTTTTGAATGAAATTAAAGAGAGATTATATATGATACATTTTCCATTTAAATAAAAAGTGTTTTCATCTTAGTTTTCTAGTATTAATACATTTAAAAGAAGAAAAACTAAGAGTTTTTTTTTTTTGTGGCGACTATTTGACATTTATGAAAACAACATTTGGAATAGTGATTTGAATCTGGCATTCATTAGTTTACACAACCACTGCTCGACCAGTTGTACTTTCTGCCAATGTGAAAAACTGAAAGTATCTAGTTCTGAACTTCAAAATTATCTACAGTTACATAATGTAAAGGTTTTGATTCTGACCTCAAAATGAAAGAATGAAAAAGAAAATACATTTGTCAAGATGTATATTGTTATGATAAGTTAGTTATTCTTTGTGTATTTAGTATTTTATTTTTATCCATATGAAAAATAGCCAATTTGTATTTTTCTCTGATTTTTAAGTATTTACACTGGAACAAGTTAGTAGGTTTTTCTCTTGGTTAAAAAAAAACATGTAATGCTGTCACAAATTATCTTTAAATATGCTAATTATCTACAAATTGACAACATGCAGCTATAGGATCATCAGTATTCTATATTGTTTATGTCTGTTATAATTTACTTACAGTGGTTGATGATGCTATACAAGTATAGATATTGCAACATTGCCAGTTTTTACCTTAATCTTCACTGGTTTGAAAAATCTGCTACTCTGACACTTGTCTGGTCCCGAGCTTGCCAGATTAGTGACATTCAACCTGAATTAATATGTTAATAGATGAATCATTTTTATTATGAATCTATTATAATAAAAATTAATTGTTAAGACAAAATCAAAAATTTATTTTAATAAAAATCCCTATGAATTTTTAGTGATTTTTATAATTTTAATACTTTATTAGATATAAAATATATCTAAGTGGATGATTGTGGGTTTTACAGGAGATTGGAACATTACAATTTTGTTAGAGATTGTAATGTTCATTACAAGATGCACTGTTCTCTTGTTAGAGATTGGAATTTATGTACAGTACATATATCATCATGAATTTATATACATATACCATTATATATGTACATAAATAGTAGTACATACAAATAAAAACAATTTGATAATCAAAATAATGAGTTTTATCAGGAAATTTTTAAACTGTATGACTAATTTTTAAAAAATTTTAATAGATATAGGCAAGGTTTATAAAGTTATTACTCTGCTTCTTTTAATGATAGATTTTTTTTTTGTCAGATAAATTTCTGTAAAATAGGTTATTAAAATCAGATAATTTGTTTGTTGTTTTAACTTTAATTTTAATTTAACAAAAATTTGTTATTTTTTTTATTTATATAAAATAACTTGCCATAAATTATAAAGCACATAGCTTACAACAATAATTTATATATAATGTAGTATGTTATTCAGATGTAGTTTTTTTGAACAGATTTAAGTTTGACTAGACTATGTTTATGATTAATTACTATTTTATTAAGTCAGAAGAACACAAATTTATTTTTATTAAAAATTATATTTTGTTCTTTGTGTTTAAAAAACAATTAGAACAATAATATAGTAGCTACTATTAGTATTTATTTTAATTTTAAAAAATTCTTTTTTCAAACGAGAAAATGTTATGAAGATATGAGAAAATAATAAATTAACACAAGTTTAATGTTGATTATTAAAATAATTTTTATATTTGAAGTGCTAAATTTTTTTCTTTTTGATAAAATTGTATATACAAACATTTATTCAAAAAAGTTTATAAAAATAAGATAAGTATTTTTGCTTTGTTTTAATGCTTCAGTTTATGAAAGTTTTAGATTCTAATCTTTTTCATTTTGCTATATTTTTTTAATTTTCTTGTTAAGGATTTTCATTATAAGAAATTTAAATAAAAAAATAATTTAATGCTAATTTAATAATAATTACTTAATAAAAATTATAAATAGTTACAAGTAATTTGCAGTTTAAGCAAATATTGTATAACCTAATTTTTAAGCCATCATTCTAGTATCTTAATTAAAGGTATAGAGATTACCAATATGTTTATAATGCTTGTTAATTTCTTATTTTATAAAGATTTGAAATCATTCTTTATTAATATTAATATTTTTTATTTTAATAAGTCATATAATATTTGAATTATAATTTGAAAAATTTTTTAATTTCTTAGCTACAAATTATGGTATAACTATTTAAAATTACGAAGAAAACAAGTTAAAGGTTATTGCATTATTGATCCTGAGTATGAAGATGTTAATAATACTTTTGAGAGAGCTTTAGTATTCATGCATAAAGTAAGTAACTTTATCTGAAATTGAGAGTATTTTGTATAAAATAAAAATATCTGTGTGAATATATTACTGAAATTTATTTTATTTATAGATGATTCGAATTTGGTTAGACTATTGTCAGTTTCTTATAGACCAACGTAAAATTACAAGAACTAGACATGTGTTTGATAGATCACTTGAAGCACTTCCAATTACTCAGCACCATCGTATTTGGCCATTATATTTGAAATTTGTTTGTATGTATAATATACCTCAAACTGCTGTTCGAGTTTATCACAGATATTTAAAAGTAAGTGAAATTATTTAAAAAATTGTAATTGATACCTATAAATCTTTATTATTTATTAAAAATATCTAGCAATAAATTCAGTTTGAATGAGTTTAGATTGTAACTTTATTTGTTATATAATACAGTAATACCTCGACTTACGCTACCCCGACTTACGCGAACCCGGAGTTATGTGATTTTCAAATCTCGTGGATTCGTCTTTTGTTTGAGCGGCACGCAGCTCTTGATTACTCACTCCCCCCACACAATTGTTCAGCTTACATGTTCGGATGTGTTGTGCGGAATCGACGCATAGTTACAATTTATTTTGTGTTATTTATTTCTGTGTTTGTTATCTATACGGAGACTCGAGAGACTCTATATGGTGATTTCTTGTAACTGTGAATGAATCAAAAGACGTGACAAGATTAACGAGAACATTTATTAGCTTACATACATCCGAATTTGGATTTTACACAAATTGTGAAATTATACCCCGACTTACGCGAATTCGACTTACGCGGTTATCTCTCGGTCCCACCTATCGTGTAAGTTCGGGGTATCACTATAATGGATATAGAAATGAATATAAAAAATTTTAACTGAGTTTCTTGCTTTTTAGAAATAAAAATGCTGATATTATAATTTTACAGTGATAGACTAAGTATATATGGATCTTTTTTTTTGAGCAGATATTAGTGAAGACAAAGTACAATGAAGCACTCATATAAACATGTACTTTTGTTCATTTTCTGTTCTAAGTTTTTCTCTTGTTAATGCACATCAGACATATGCATGTCTGTTAGAGAGGTGCAAACCCACAACCAACTACAGGCCAACTATCACTAATCTGGAATCTTTGGGAAAATTGGGACCTGCAGGGTGCTCGATTAATTAATGATTTTGCTGGATGACAGAGTGCTTAGGTTAGCTGTTAGGTTACACTTAACCGAACAGCTAACATCTCTCCTATCTTTAGAATATGCTGTAAATCAGTACAGTTTGATTAATAAAGAAAAAAGAAACATTAAATGAAAATTCTTATCAAATTATTGTACATCTGGCAATGTTGAATACCACCAAACAGTAGTGGCTTAATTGCCAGCTGGATGGTTGAGGCAGTTAAGACATCAGCCTACCTTTCTGCAGGATATACATATGGACTTGTATTTAGTATATATTCCCAGGCTGAAATTTGTTGCTAGTCCAATGCTGACCAGAAGTATAGTTAAAAAGTTCTTATAATTAAAATATAGACCTGTATAAGTAGGCTTAACTAATCTCATATATTTTCTGTCAATTGCACCAATGCAGTTTGGAAAATTGTTCAAAATTGATTGCAATGACTCTCCTCCCATTTCCATTTAGTTATTTCTGGCATTTAAAAATTGTTTTTAATTCATCCCTATAACTAGGGAGAACTGATAAAGCAGAAAAAAATCTTATTTTGGGATCAGTAGTAAGAAACACAAAATGTTATGTTTATTTCAAAAAGGTTGCAGTTTCTAAAAAGGTTATTACCAATAAAGAAATGACTAGTAATATTGATAATGCTGTAATGAAAGTGTTGGCATATTAAAATTTCAATGTTGCAGTAGAATATGATAGGAAGAAAATTGAATCCCAAAGTAAAATTCAATCCAGTTCATCAATATTTTTCAGATATTTTAGAAAAAAAGCTTATTAATAAGAGAAAAACAGGATTAACCACTAAATTATCATGATGATGAACTATTTTGTATGTTGCTATACAAGAAAATTTATAGATTGCCTGAAAACAGCTATTTAATAAAAAAAAATTGAAATATTAAGTGTTCTTGAATGAGCACAGACTTTTTCTTTATATAACCAGCTGTTCATTTACATTCATATAATCAGCCATATCCAAATTACTTAGGCTATAATGTTCAGATATCAACAATTTATCCACAATCATTGTCACCAATGCACATCCCATCCACAATCCCATCACCCCAGCTAAAAATTCAACTTCCAAATCACCACAATCAGAATACCTAAAGAACTTTGAATAATCATATTGATTTGATTTCATAAAATAAATTTAATGTTGTTATGAGTTTTCTTCTGATGAAATTAATCCTCATAATGATTGTACTTGATAATGTCATCTTTAATCATCGGCAACAAATTGTCAAAAGATTTGATTGACTGAAATAAATAAATTTTGGTTCATATTCTCTTAATTTTGGATAGAGTGGTATGAATCATTCCATGTGTAAGTCTCACATAAAATAGAGTGCACTCAATATTGTTTTTCCTTTACTTATCCCATTTCTAGTGATGTAAGAGATACCAAATGCATGCTGCTTCCTTTATGTCCATAGTGGTAATGATGAGGTATGCAATTAAAAATATGAACATAAAGTGCAATATGCATACAGTTACCACTTTATGGCAATGCATGTTAAATGCAACATTAGTTGCCTTGTCTTTTAAGCCATCATTCTAGTATCTTAATTAAAGGTATAGAGATTACCAATATGTTTATAATGCTTGTTAATTTCTTATTTTATAAAGATTTGAAATCATTCTTTATTAATATTAATATTTTTTATTTTAATAAGTCATATAATATTTGAATTATAATTTGAAAAATTTTTTAATTTCTTAGCTACAAATTATGGTATAACTATTTAAAATTACGAAGAAAACAAGTTAAAGGTTATTGCATTATTGATCCTGAGTATGAAGATGTTAATAATACTTTTGAGAGAGCTTTAGTATTCATGCATAAAGTAAGTAACTTTATCTGAAATTGAGAGTATTTTGTATAAAATAAAAATATCTGTGTGAATATATTACTGAAATTTATTTTATTTATAGATGATTCGAATTTGGTTAGACTATTGTCAGTTTCTTATAGACCAACGTAAAATTACAAGAACTAGACATGTGTTTGATAGATCACTTGAAGCACTTCCAATTACTCAGCACCATCGTATTTGGCCATTATATTTGAAATTTGTTTGTATGTATAATATACCTCAAACTGCTGTTCGAGTTTATCACAGATATTTAAAAGTAAGTGAAATTATTTAAAAAATTGTAATTGATACCTATAAATCTTTATTATTTATTAAAAATATCTAGCAATAAATTCAGTTTGAATGAGTTTAGATTGTAACTTTATTTGTTATATAATACAGTAATACCTCGACTTACGCTACCCCGACTTACGCGAACCCGGAGTTATGTGATTTTCAAATCTCGTGGATTCGTCTTTTGTTTGAGCGGCACGCAGCTCTTGATTACTCACTCCCCCCACACAATTGTTCAGCTTACATGTTCGGATGTGTTGTGCGGAATCGACGCATAGTTACATTTTATTNTATTATTTATTTTATCTTTAAAATTTTTTCAGCTATATCCTGAGAATGCTGAAGAATTTATTGATTATCTAATATCTGTTGGATGGCTAGATGATGCAGCTGTTGAACTTGAAAAAATAGTAAATAAAGAAGATTTTGTGTCTAGAGATGGAAAATCTAAATACCAAGTATATTATAAGTTTTTATTTATTATTTCATTCTCCATATTTTTATGAATTAAGCTTGTTTTTCTATGTACAGTAGAGCCTCGATTATCTGACCCCCTATCAACCGACCGTCCTAGTCGGCAAATTTCAAATGTCCGCTATTAATGTGGCGCTACAATATTTGGCTATGTCTTGGCAACTTTAATATTATTTTTATGTGTTTTAGCTGGCAACACTGGATCGACAATGAAAGGGAGCCAGTATTTAAATGAGGCTTAACTTTCTAATTTTTAACGATACAATAGCGATGATTATTATTTTTAAAAATTTTTGTCAATGAAAATTCAATGCAAAGTAGGTTAATAGCGATATACTAATATACTAATTACATGGGATATAATAATATACTACACTAATAATAGATTTTTTCATACTTTTCGGTTATCCACCCTTTCAATTATCCGACCAACCCCAGTCCCCAATTAGGTCGGATAATCGAGGCTCTACTGTAATTACCATATTGGCCTAATATAAGTCAACTTCCAATTTTGGATTTCTTAGTTTTTGAAGAAAATTAGGATCTGAATATAATTCAACCTGCCCTTATTAATTTTATTTGTATACAAAAATTAGTAGTATGCGTTAAAAAACTTGGAAAGCCATTGAAACACTTTCATCATTTTCATTGTCATCATTCTTGTTTCCAAGTTGTGGTTACAATTTTAATGTTAAATAAAATAAAATTCTGACTTTCAGTATTAAGTTAATATATTTAAAACCAGCAAATATACAGAAACATGCATGTATTTTCAACAATAGTTATTTATGTCATCTTCAAGCAAATAGAGTTTGAAAATTGAATGATTGAATTTGAAAAATGGAATGGTTGTTGAATTCAAAGAGAAATTCAATTCAAATTTGAACATAATAAAAAGTTGGGTACGAAAATTCAATGAAAATTGTGGTTTTTGAGTAAACATAGTTGAACATGCTAGTATCTCTACAGAAATTCAATACCAGAGATGAAGTGACACAGAATAGTTGGAAATTACATTAAATAATGACGAATTGATTTCCATAAACTATGAATTATTGGTGTATACAACAAATAAATTTGTATATGATATTACAGTCTTAAAACTACTTACGTTAGATTATCTTTAATACTATTAAGAGTTAATGTAGGAATTTATGAAGAGATAACAAGTAACCAGAAATGTCCAGAATTGAATGCTTACATGGTTCCATGCAGTTAATGAGCATACTTATACCACAAAATGAATATTTTCATCCATATGTGTACTGGAAAATCTAGGTATACAACTTAACAGAATATATGCCATATTACTTAATCATCAGAAAACAGTTAAAAAGTTAATTATGTTGGTTACTGCATCATAGGCCATCAAAAACTCTTACACCACAACCAAATACCTTTCTATAACTATGCTGGGCTCTCTATTATTTTTTTAATTGTCTATTTATTATAATTTATGTTTTAAATAATCATATCAAATACATAAATTTATAATTACAATAGAAATTTACACTTTAGAATAGAATAAATTTTGCAATAAATTTTCAGCACCCTTCCTACAAATGTTTGATGATTGCTCAATTAGTAGGGACTCCTAGGAGTAAAATAAAAATGTTACCAAAATAAAGTTTTTTAGAACTTATTAAAATTGACTGATTCTGTTCAACACAATAAAAATAATTGTCTTAGTTTAGTTGACTGTTTTTGAAAAATCAATTAATCAATTATTTACAATCATGCCAAACTCTTAATTTCTACTCATAACTTATGGGTTGTAACGTGATAGGTTGCAACTTTGCTGGCATTTAACATTGATGAACATTTGACATACTGAATTTTAATGTCATTTTAACTCTGTACAATGTGTACCACAGATAGTTATTGAAATCAAAGGAAACTTTAATCGGGCTCAAATATAAGCCAAGAGTGATTTTTTGCTTCTTTAAAACTGGAAAAAACATTGACTAATATTAGGGCCAATGTGATTATTATGTTTTGTAAATGAAGTCATGAAAATTTGTGATACTAGAAAAAGATTACTTTTTTAAATATGATACAGTTATTTAAACAAATCATAAATGAAAAATTTCTTTAATTGTAATACAATGCAGCTCATTATTTTCAAATCCTTCTCTTCAAAATTTATTTCTATTATTAAGAATTAATTTTCAAAATTAATCAGAATGTAATTAAAGCAATGCAGGATTTCATTGAAATTCAATATAAATTATAAACAGAATAATCAGTAATTTAAAATGATGAAAATGCTATACAATTGTCAAAAGTTTGAAAAATATTATTAAGTTTAATTTTTACATTTAATAGAATTTTTTGTTATTTAATGCAGTGGTGCACAAACCATGGGTTTGTGACCTTCTGAGGGTTGTGAGAAAATTTTTCAGGGTTGCCAAATTCAAAGAAATTTATTTGACAATAAAAAATATAAGGCTTTTCTTCAACAAGTATCAGGTACCAGTAAAATAGTGAAATGAAATTATATTATTTATAAAAATAGAAGTATATTTTTTTTACGAAAACAATTGTCTGTTTAAGAAAAAGGCAATCAATATTTTGATTCAATTTGCATCGACCTACTTATGTGAAGCTGGCTTTTCAAAATTAGTTGCCATTAAAACAAAACATCAATCTCAATTGGATCCAGAGGATGACTTACAGCTTGCGATTTCCAATACAGATCCAAACATAGAAGCGATCATGAGCTCTTTGCAAGCGCATACCTCACGTTGAATTCTTATGATGTAAAGTTTTTTTAAAAGTATTTTTCATTAAATAAATATTTATACCCATATGCATAAATAAAACCGTTGTTTCATAAAATTATGTGTTCTATTCAGACCTCTAATAAGGCAGAAACATAAGCACAAATCCCAGAAAGAATTTCACTTTAATTATGTTGACAATTAAAAAAATGTCTAATGGCTATCCAGGGGTCACAACAAAATTTTACACAAAATGGGGGTCAGAAATGTAAATATTTTGCGCACCACTGATTTAATGTATCAGCCACAAAATTAACAGAGATTTAAACTGAAACACGATACTTAATTTAAGGACTAAAACTTTCCAAAAGAAAAATTACTACTATAATGTTGGCAAGATAACATTGGAATTTATTCTTCTTATTATTTTTTTTATGGCTAATTAAGCCTGTGACAATACTAATTATAATATTTTATTTTAAATTTATTTTTAGATATATTTATAAATAAAATTTGAATAATTTTATGCTAATAATATATTACAAGACTAAAATAATATGAAATAAAGATTTAAAAAGAATAATTTTATATTATATTGATATAATTAAATTTATTTACAGTTGTGGAATGAGTTATGCAACCTAATATCTAAAAATCCTGACAAAGTTAGATCATTAAAAGTAGATGCAATTATTAGAGGTGGTTTAAGAAGATACACAGATCAACTTGGACAATTATGGAACTCATTAGCAGATTATTATACACGTAGTGGATTATTTGAAAGGGTGAGAATGATAACATAATTTTTATACATATTTAATAAATAAATATATAGATATATATTCATATATTTTGAAGCCATCCTTTTCAAGAAGCATAGTTTCTTTTTTTACATTTGAAATTTATTGTAGTAAGAATATTTTATTTAATATAATTCTTAACCAACTTTATTTCAATATTTTTCAAAATGAAATGAAGAAAGGCAGTGATTTATGAAACTTTTTGCAAGAGCTAAACAACACTTGTAATCAAATGGTGAAGATGAATAACTGAAAATAATATATAAAAGTTGAAATAATAATAGTTAAAAATATAGAATATTATAAATTAATTCTAGATAAGGTGGACCAACTTAATGTAGTAAATCAATTATATAATAAATCGATATATTAGAAACAGAAGAGGAAATAACATTCCTGAATAAATTCAGAATTGATGGAATAAACATATTAAATATAAATAAATAGTTTTGAAAATTGAAATCTTCTATGAAAAATTTTAAGGATTATTGTCTTAATTCATTCAAATAATAAGTTGATTTAGAATTATCATAAATTACATATTCTAATTAGACATTTCACTTGTAAAAATTAATGATATTTAAGATGATGAAAACCAATTATTCAAAGATTTTTAGGAAAAAAAACTTATAATTGTAATTAAATAATTTAAATTCAAAGTGAATTCTAGTCAAATATATTTATTATTTGTTAAAATGACATTTAAATTTAATTTTTTTGTATTATTAATAGGCACGGGATGTGTATGAAGAAGCTATTCAAACTGTAATGACAGTAAGAGATTTTACTCAAGTATTTGATGCATGTGCACAATTTGAAGAAAGTCTTATCAGTGCAAAAATGCAAGAGACTGCAAAACTTGGTCCTACAGAAGAAGGTAAATATTATTTAACAAAAATGTATAAATTAATATAATGACAATTCTTTACTTTGTTAGATGATTTGGACTTGGATTTAAGATTAGCTCGTTTGGAAGATTTGATGGATAGAAGGCCTTTGCTATTGAATAGGTAATATTTAGAATTTATTTAAGTTTTTGTAATAATTCTCATTTTAAAAATATATTTTTAGTGTTCTATTAAGGCAAAATCCTCATAATGTTCATGATTGGCATAAGCGAGTGAAATTATTTGAAGGAAAGCCTAGAGAGGTAATTTAAATTGTAATTGTTTAATTAAAAATTTTTGTTGTTATCTATATTAATATTATTTATTATCATTTAATTATTTATTTTATACAAATAGTTTTATAAATTTTAGAACATACCTCGGGATTATTTATAAGCTGGGTATCATGGATGAATACATATTTATACAGCTTACATATTTATTGTCTATCTTTGTTGTTTCCTTTTTGGGTGACAAAATTAAAAGATGGATGTACCATCAGTACAAGATTTTTTGCTTACATCTGTATTCATTCATGGTTAAGATGCAATATGGTATTAAATTTCAAATCAAATTCTATCTTTTACTGTTATATAAAAAATTCATATTTACTAAATAAAACACAAATAGATATATCCTCGTTAGCTTTACTTTATACTGTCATCTACCACTTTTACTATGTAGTTCCATACTAATTAGCATATTTTTACATTGTAAAGAGGTTAGTTCATGATTGATTATAAAAGTTTATAAAAAAATTCTAAAAATTATTTTAAAAAATAATAAAAACTAAAAAAGTTTTTTAAAAGCTGTAGAAATTTCCTTCAATCTCTACATTTTTACCTATTTTTACATTTTTCAAATTCCTTTCACAATATCCTAAGCCAATTTTCATTTATTTTTATGCTTAAATTTTTATTTATACAGTTTTTACTTTTAATGATTTCTACACTTTCTTTAAATTTTCTGTTCTATGTTTCAGTTTCTCTAATGTAAAATTTTTATATTATTTTGGTCTATATTGCAGTCATTTAATGTGAAGTGATCGTGGAAGGCAGAGTTTAGTATATTTTTTAAAGTTATATAGAGTACCATAATAAATAAATACCATGTAATGTATAAACAGATAGTAACATTATTTAGGATTAGAAATTAATCATTATACATTATCACAAATGTAGAAGAAAAAATAACAACATATAAAACAAGGACAGTTTAACTTCTTTCCATAATTTCAGAAATTGCAATGGAACTATAAGTGTTACATAGTTAGGTAACAGAACATCTCTCTGCACATTATGGATGTGATCAAAGGCCTTAGTTCAGAAATTCTGGATTGCATGGCCTACAGTCTGGATCTGTCATTGTTTAATTATCATATGTTTGGCTCTTTGAAGGAATCTTTGGAAGACAGCTGATTTACCCAGAATGTTGAATGCTAGATTACAATATACTAGTCTCTCCGACTTCACATGACAAACTCTAAAACTGGAGTTTGTCATGCAGGTACTCCAACAATGGCCAAAAGACTTGTTCTGCAGGCATAGCCAAAATGATGGGAGAAATGTCAGCATGTGGCAGGGAGTACCCAAAGAAAGAAACATAAATTGGAATTATGTAACACATATAGTTCAATTGCCATTACCGAAATTCATGACAGAAATTGAATCACTCATGTATTAATATATTGTATTTTTGTGGAATGACCAGAAGGCTGCATATATCCAGGAGAGACCAGTATACTGAAAACCTTGGGGTTACTGGCATGCCAATTAAACTGTGATTAAAAAATAAAATTAATCAGATGTAACAAAACTAGTTGTTAATTAAATGTTGAAGAAAACATTCTTCTAAGTACAATAAAATAACAACATTGTAATTTGACTGACTTAAAACCAGGAAGAGCGTTTTTGTTTACAGGACAATATAACAATTAATGATTTATTGACATTAATAATAGTAGAAGTAGTAGTATTTAGTGTGGTCTGCACTTACCATCTATTCTGATCTTAAAAATAACACCTTCATCTTAAGTGGATGTTAATTGTGTAAGTTGAGATAATTTACAGCAAGTTTCTGAAATTTAATATGTTTATTTTTGCAGTTTTGAAACAAATTACAATAAAATAAACATAAAAGAAAATGGCACTTTCAGCATGCCATGAGCATTTTACATTGTTAGGAAGAAGACAAAATGAAGAAATTAAATACAGTGGAACCTTACTTAACAAGCACCTCGCATAATGAGTCGCATAACGAGCAAAACAAATTTTTTAAAAATGGCTCGCTTAATGAGCAACATTTCACATAATGATTACACATTTTTCCAAACTTGTGTTCACACATATTATGTTTAAACATCAACAACCATAGCCCGTTATATAATAAACATTCCAAACAATATGCGAAATTCTTGGGCTATGTAAAAATATTAAAAATTAAAAATAAAGATGGAATACCACCAAGTGTTGAAATAGAAACACACCTTGTGTGAATCAAAAAAAATATATATATATTAAAAATTAATTAATTTGACTAGAGGTAGGCAATTATGCTGCCATCTGGTATTAAATTTAATGACCAATTACAAATGAAATTTTAGAAATATCTAAATTAAAAATCAATTATTTATAATTATTAAATTTAATACAAGATGACAGCATAACTGCCTACCTCTAGTCAAATTCATTAATTTCTAATATTTAATTATAGCTTAGCCCACGAATTTGGTATATCATTTGGCTGTTTATGAGACATATTATCTGTGATTTTTTTTGTTTTCTGCAAATCGTATTTGCATTCCAGATTGGTTCATTTCATGCGAGAGAAAAGATTATGATGATTCATGCTCCTTAACAATGTATATTGTATAATTTTCTTTGAATAAATGTTATACATAAAATATTTGAGTATTTTTTTGGCATGGAATGCATTATCGTATTTTACATTAATTTATATGGGAAAAACTGTTTTGCTTAACAAGTGTTTCGCATTACAAGTATGATTCTGGAATGAATTATGCTCATTAAGCGAGGTTCCACTGTATATAATTGTAGTTTTTTGATGTAATGCTGAGAGTTTCACAGTTTCAGAATAAAAAAATCATTTGTTTTTATGTGATGTTCATTTTTTTAATGTGCCCTCTAGAGAAGGATGTATAATCTCACTTAAACTGGCGTGCCAGCATTCCTTGAGGATAAAGCAACATGCCAGTTTTTACCATATGGAAAAATTTGATTTCATGGTCTCCCCAAATAGACTGACATGCATGCATTTTTTGGGCATTATAATTAACAGGTAATAATTTTCAATTAAAATTAATGCTAATTACTGCAGCTGACAAGAACTAGCTATTACACAGTGTGTGAAATATAAGCCAGCATCTAAAAATAACACCTTTTCAAAGTGACAAATTATAGAACATGACAAATTATTGAGTGACGAATTATCAAGTTTCTACTGTACTTTATCTTTGTTGCCATCATTTTTTATTAGGAATGTTACTGAATTAGTAATTTGTCTCTTTCATTTCAAGACATATTTAGTGTTAAGTTTCATAATAAATACATTATCAGAATTTTTATCAATTTTAATAACCAGATCTAAAAAAGATTATTTATAATGAGAAATTCTTCTGGTACAACGGGTAGCATAAATTACAAATAATTAAATACATATAATTATATAATAACCATTCTGTTTTAATCTGTAAACTAATTGAACATAACCATTGTATTAGTATTAGCATAATATTAGTAATACATCAGGTATCATCGTCAGGTTTATAATTCATACAATTTGAAATAATTAAAAATAATAAAATTCATGGCCGGCGTTATTTACATTTAATACATAAAAATATAAATACGACTTTTTAACAAAGTTAAAACTTTGTGTCTGTCCTTCTTTTCGCCGTTTTCACCATCAGCAATCCTTTAAAAGTTCACAAAATTACAGAGACGACCTTGAAATAATTATTTAACTTAAAGATAACATTATTATTAGGTTCCTTAAAATAATTATGCAAAGCAAAATTTTCCAATATAACAAATCTTATCATTGAGGAATACTGTGACTTCTGATATATAAACAGATATGTGTGTCTTTAACAGTCATTCAGAGCAATCAGGACATATATCATTTTTAAAATTATATACATTACTTTTAAATAATATAGATATTTTATTTAATCTAACTTGAACAATGAATCTTTTAACATCTGGAAAACAGATATTCAACTGGCTATTAAAATTGATAAAAATTTTGATAGTGTATTTATTATACACTAACACTAAATATTACCATTTAGAGAATTCACTTTCCCTTTATACCATAAATGATGAGTAGCCCTACTTTTACTGTCAATATTTATCTAAGAATATATATCAACTAAAGTATGTACTGAAGAAACAAATGTTTGTTTTCTAATATCATTATTATGTAAGAAAGAGATAATAGATAACACCATATTTGTTTAAAGAGTTGGATAAAGCAACTAACCAATTGCTTTTAATATTAGGATACTCTTGAATTTTTTACGTTAGCATTTTAAGAATTTCTGATAACAACAAGTTCCTATATATAATTCTAAATAAAAATTTAACTGTTCTAATTACCAGATATGGAAGATGACAATATTGATATTAGATTCTAGCCTGAGTGGGTATCTAGGGTTATAGCATTCTAAAGAAAATAGTTTTCACAAGATTTAATTTTTATTGCATCCAGTCTATCATCATTTTTATAAAAAATTTTGAAAAAGTTAAGTTTATTATAAGTTACTGGGCTGCAACCTGGAACCTATCCCTAGTAATTTCAACATTCTTTATCATCATGAAATTTCTATATCTAAAAGTTTATAAAAAAATTCTAAAAATTATTTTAAAAAATAATAAAAACTAAAAAAGTTTTTTAAAAGCTGTAGAAATTTCCTTCAATCTCTACATTTTTACCTATTTTTACATTTTTCAAATTCCTTTCACAATATCCTAAGCCAATTTTCATTTATTTTTATGCTTAAATTTTTATTTATACAGTTTTTACTTTTAATGATTTCTACACTTTCTTTAAATTTTCTGTTCTATGTTTCAGTTTCTCTAATGTAAAATTTTTATATTATTTTGGTCTATATTGCAGTCATTTAATGTGAAGTGATCGTGGAAGGCAGAGTTTAGTATATTTTTTAAAGTTATATAGAGTACCATAATAAATAAATACCATGTAATGTATAAACAGATAGTAACATTATTTAGGATTAGAAATTAATCATTATACATTATCACAAATGTAGAAGAAAAAATAACAACATATAAAACAAGGACAGTTTAACTTCTTTCCATAATTTCAGAAATTGCAATGGAACTATAAGTGTTACATAGTTAGGTAACAGAACATCTCTCTGCACATTATGGATGTGATCAAAGGCCTTAGTTCAGAAATTCTGGATTGCATGGCCTACAGTCTGGATCTGTCATTGTTTAATTATCATATGTTTGGCTCTTTGAAGGAATCTTTGGAAGACAGCTGATTTACCCAGAATGTTGAATGCTAGATTACAATATACTAGTCTCTCCGACTTCACATGACAAACTCTAAAACTGGAGTTTGTCATGCAGGTACTCCAACAATGGCCAAAAGACTTGTTCTGCAGGCATAGCCAAAATGATGGGAGAAATGTCAGCATGTGGCAGGGAGTACCCAAAGAAAGAAACATAAATTGGAATTATGTAACACATATAGTTCAATTGCCATTACCGAAATTCATGACAGAAATTGAATCACTCATGTATTAATATATTGTATTTTTGTGGAATGACCAGAAGGCTGCATATATCCAGGAGAGACCAGTATACTGAAAACCTTGGGGTTACTGGCATGCCAATTAAACTGTGATTAAAAAATAAAATTAATCAGATGTAACAAAACTAGTTGTTAATTAAATGTTGAAGAAAACATTCTTCTAAGTACAATAAAATAACAACATTGTAATTTGACTGACTTAAAACCAGGAAGAGCGTTTTTGTTTACAGGACAATATAACAATTAATGATTTATTGACATTAATAATAGTAGAAGTAGTAGTATTTAGTGTGGTCTGCACTTACCATCTATTCTGATCTTAAAAATAACACCTTCATCTTAAGTGGATGTTAATTGTGTAAGTTGAGATAATTTACAGCAAGTTTCTGAAATTTAATATGTTTATTTTTGCAGTTTTGAAACAAATTACAATAAAATAAACATAAAAGAAAATGGCACTTTCAGCATGCCATGAGCATTTTACATTGTTAGGAAGAAGACAAAATGAAGAAATTAAATACAGTGGAACCTTACTTAACAAGCACCTCGCATAATGAGTCGCATAACGAGCAAAACAAATTTTTTAAAAATGGCTCGCTTAATGAGCAACATTTCACATAATGATTACACATTTTTCCAAACTTGTGTTCACACATATTATGTTTAAACATCAACAACCATAGCCCATTATATAATAAACATTCCAAACAATATGCGAAATTCTTGGGCTATGTAAAAATATTAAAAATTAAAAATAAAGATGGAATACCACCAAGTGTTGAAATAGAAACACACCTTGTGTTAGTGAATCAAAAAAAATATATATATATTAAAAATTAATTAATTTGACTAGAGGTAGGCAATTATGCTGCCATCTGGTATTAAATTTAATGACCAATTACAAATGAAATTTTAGAAATATCTAAATTAAAAATCAATTATTTATAATTATTAAATTTAATACAAGATGACAGCATAACTGCCTACCTCTAGTCAAATTCATTAATTTCTAATATTTAATTATAGCTTAGCCCACGAATTTGGTATATCATTTGGCTGTTTATGAGACATATTATCTGTGATTTTTTTTGTTTTCTGCAAATCGTATTTGCATTCCAGATTGGTTCATTTCATGCGAGAGAAAAGATTATGATGATTCATGCTCCTTAACAATGTATATTGTATAATTTTCTTTGAATAAATGTTATACATAAAATATTTGAGTATTTTTTTGGCATGGAATGCATTATCGTATTTTACATTAATTTATATGGGAAAAACTGTTTTGCTTAACAAGTGTTTCGCATTACAAGTATGATTCTGGAATGAATTATGCTCATTAAGCGAGGTTCCACTGTATATAATTGTAGTTTTTTGATGTAATGCTGAGAGTTTCACAGTTTCAGAATAAAAAAATCATTTGTTTTTATGTGATGTTCATTTTTTTAATGTGCCCTCTAGAGAAGGATGTATAATCTCACTTAAACTGGCGTGCCAGCATTCCTTGAGGATAAAGCAACATGCCAGTTTTTACCATATGGAAAAATTTGATTTCATGGTCTCCCCAAATAGACTGACATGCATGCATTTTTTGGGCATTATAATTAACAGGTAATAATTTTCAATTAAAATTAATGCTAATTACTGCAGCTGACAAGAACTAGCTATTACACAGTGTGTGAAATATAAGCCAGCATCTAAAAATAACACCTTTTCAAAGTGACAAATTATAGAACATGACAAATTATTGAGTGACGAATTATCAAGTTTCTACTGTACTTTATCTTTGTTGCCATCATTTTTTATTAGGAATGTTACTGAATTAGTAATTTGTCTCTTTCATTTCAAGACATATTTAGTGTTAAGTTTCATAATAAATACATTATCAGAATTTTTATCAATTTTAATAACCAGATCTAAAAAAGATTATTTATAATGAGAAATTCTTCTGGTACAACGGGTAGCATAAATTACAAATAATTAAATACATATAATTATATAATAACCATTCTGTTTTAATCTGTAAACTAATTGAACATAACCATTGTATTAGTATTAGCATAATATTAGTAATACATCAGGTATCATCGTCAGGTTTATAATTCATACAATTTGAAATAATTAAAAATAATAAAATTCATGGCCGGCGTTATTTACATTTAATACATAAAAATATAAATACGACTTTTTAACAAAGTTAAAACTTTGTGTCTGTCCTCCTTTTCGCNATAATTCAAATATAATTTGGTTTTATCTCAGTTAAAATATTTTATAAGCAAAATGCTAAAATAAAACACTAGTTATAAAAATTTGAATTTTATGAAAAAACTGTGTATATTAACACATTACTATAAACACTCTTTTAAGCAATTATTGAGCATACATATTTAAATTCTTTTAATGCATCATTATATTAAAAAAATGAAATTTTATAAATAGAAACTTTGAAGGAGCACTTTCTTTGATGCAACGGGCAACAGCTGCACCTCCTAGGAAAGTAGCTTATCACGATCAGGTAAGCTATGCTTTTTTTAAATAAAATATTTTGCATAACTATTAGAATATATAGATTAGACTATTTTAATTAATCCACTGAAATAACTTGAAAAATATGCATCCTACAAAAAAAAATCATTAAACCAAAATATTATACTTCAAGGGTGCCACAAGATGGGGCTGTTGGTTTCACAGATGGTACTAGAATCAGTGAAAAGGGATCAACTTCATCTTCTTAAATGGAGACCTCCAATTTTTTATTCCCTATTTTGATTTTTCATAAAAAATAAACAAAATTTTATCTAAAACATTTTTTTGAAAGATGCACTAATCAGAAGCTATGGGCATTTGAAGTTTTATGTGACTGTCATGTGGTGCATGCATGAATGTCTGTGAATTTCACTGAAAAAGGAAGAAAACTGCTAGAAAAGTTGTTAAGAACTAATTATTATTCGTTGGAATCAAAATCAATGTCTTTTTATCACAAGCTTGATGGCTTTAACATGTTGAGGCATTAATTTTGTATCAGTTCATTATTTGAACAAAAAGAATGATTTCACCAAATGATAATAGCTTCCTAATGCCTTTTTAACTATTTTTCTTTGTTTTTTTCAGTGAAATTCACAGAATGTGCATGATATGCTGACTATAAAACATCAAACATTCATAACTTCTTATTAGTGTATGTTTTGAAAAAATATTTCAGATAAAAGTTTGTTTATTTTTGATGTAGAATCAGAATATGCAATAAAACATGTAGATTCTCACTTAGTAAAATGAAGTTGACCCTATTTTTCACTAATTCTAGAATCATCTATGATGAAACTGATAACTTGAAGGGGCCACAGATGGGCTAACATTTTTGGTTTAATGATTGTTTTTGTAGAATGCGATTTTTTGAGTTATTCCACTGGACTGATTAAAATGGGGTCATCCTGTATTTAAAGTAATAATGTCACCACAAACTTGCATGCTATGCTCTTCATCCACTGAGTTGGCAGAGAACCAAAAAAATTCCAAATTCCAAGTGCTACTCAAGAACAGCTCATGCCAGCACTAGTTCTGGACTAAAACTTGTTCAGATCCTTTTATTTATTTATTTTTTTTTTGTGCTTACTAATCAATTTGTAATCTTTGTGAGTTATTGTTAAATTAAACTGTTTGAAAAGAAACCAACTGTATTCTTTTGTTCATGATAATATATTTAAATATGACTTTTAAGAGTAAAAATAAAAACATTCTATGAAAATAGCTTTCAATTAAGGGTAATTTTTAAAATATTTATTTAGCAAAAGTTTGTTTTATTATTACAAATTATAATAAATCAAAGCAAAAAAAAAGCAAGTTAATGGTTAAGAGAATGATTGATTGTATGATCTTATTACAAAAATTATTTTATTAAAAAGATATACAGTGGTGTCTCGTATAACGGACTCTGCGAACAACAGACTTTCTGTTTGGCCGTTACGTGACTCGAGCAATGGACTGGCTGCAAACAACGGACTTTCTGCGAACAAGTGAGAATGATGTTTCCACTCGTTTTCCATCTCGTTTACAATCTGCTATTTTTATAATATATTAGTATTATTAGAATATATTATTAGTATATCTGAAGTACAGAGCTCCTGTTGGGATTCGGCTTGCTCTCTTGTTTATTACATACAGTACATCACCTCAGTGCAGGGGGGTATTTACATTTATTCAAGCGTTGTACAAATCATGGCTTCTAAAAAAACAGAAAGGTGATTTCAATTGAAACAAAGCAAGAATCATCAGAAGGAGTGAAAGTTGACAAAAACTTCCTTGTCAAATGGGGAGAGGTTCAGGAGTTTACCAACACTCATTACAGAGCTGAGGCCAACAGGATCAATGATCTCTACTATGACACCCTTGCCCGTCATTTCCGACAAGTGTTGAAGAAGAGAGAGAAACAGACCACCTTGGACATGTTTTTCAAGAAGCCAGCTGTCAAAAAACAAAGGATGGAACAAGAGGAGTTGACCCTGCAAGCTCCGGTAGCCTCTTTTAAATCTGACTCCAATTAAAAAACAATAAAAAGAGACCTGCTGCAATGTGTAAAAAGTCTGTATCTGTATGAATGTGTGAAAAAAGTGTTCCTCCACCTCCTCACAACATCTGGCTACCAGCATAATTGATGACTGCTCCATTTTCATTTTTTTATGGTACGGTTATTTTATGCTGTGGAATGAATTATATATTTTAACATGTATTTCTATGGGAAAATGCGTTTCGTATAATGGACTTTTCACTTAACGGACGTGCACCTGTAATGGATTAAGTACGTTATACGAGGCACCACTGTATTCTTCAATAGTATTTTGCTATATTGATGAAGAAAAAACAAATACAATCGTATCATATTAACATAATAAAAACACAAATAATACACAGTTACCTAAAATAAAAAAGAATAAAGAAAACTTAGTATTACATTTTAATTTGGCATATAGTTATGGAATAATTTTATTTGCTGTACAATTCCTTAAAATAGTTAATATATTTATTATTGTTATTAAATGGTTATTACAAAAATATGTTAGTGCTTATAGCAGAAGAATAAAATTTTCAGTAAATTTCTAAGATTGACCATAAGATGCATGAGATGAGCAGTCTTTAGAGTGCCCATTTCATGCATCTATGCAAATTACAAGTTACAGAAGGTATGGTATATATTAACAACATTGTAATCATAAATAAAAAAAGTGCATTATGATCACATGCAGTTAAACATCTTTTCATATTTAAAAATCATCCAAATATAAACTGAAAAATTTTAATGTTTATTGAACAGAAACTTTGATCTGTTTAATTTGAAAAGTAAATATTTAATTATTATCCTTTATTGCATTTTTCTTTCTACAAAAAAACCTGAATTGGAATTTGATTATTGTGTAAAACAACACAATTTCCTAGTATGATAGCCTGATATGAGTCCTGCTGCCTCTGAGTTTAATTCTCTTTTTTAAACTTTGATAAATCAAAAGTAATGTTAATATTTTCATTCCTTTTAGTTTCATAGACAGTTCAAATTAGTAGAAAATAAAATGATAGCTGAGAATGCAGTACAATAAATGTTAAAATATAGAGTTATAATTGTGCTTCATTATTCAAAATTATTTTATAACATTTGTGTATTTAAATATATTTAAATAAGATTATACTATGTTATGTAAATTGTATTATTAAATTTATTTATTTTGTTTTGTCAAATTTTAAAATATTTATAGAGTGAACCTGTACAGTTTCGTCTATATAAGTCATTGAAAATATGGTCGATGTATGCAGATTTAGAAGAAAGTTTTGGAACTTTCAAGGTAATATTAATTTCCATAACAAATGTAAATAAAACTGCTTAAATGTAATTAAATAAAATTTTGCATTATTTATGTTTCTAGTCCTCAAAAGCTGTTTATGATCGTATAATTGATTTGAAGATTGCAACACCACAAATTATCATCAACTATGGATTATTTTTAGAAGAAAATAATTACTTCGAAGAGGCTTTCAAAGTATTAACACACAATTAGATTTTAATATTAATTTTTTTATTTTCATTTTTTAAATTAAAGTTATTTGTTTTTTTTAGGCTTATGAAAAAGGAATTGCATTATTTAAATGGCCAAATGTTTATGATATCTGGAATACATATTTAATTAAATTTTTAAAGAGATATGTAAGTTTAATATAAGTTTATTAATATATTAAAATTTTTAGTAAATTAGCAAATTATAAATTTTTAAAAGTTAATTGGTAGTTGCAGTATCATTATATATCAGATATTAATTATTATTTAAAAAAAAGTAAGAATTATTATTTTAAATTCAACATTCTCAAAAACTGATATTTTGAAAATTTTTCTTACTAATTAATTAAAAATTAATATCATATTAAATAAATATATTATCCGTAACCGCTTCTTCAGGTTATCAAAAATAATGTTTTTGACTCCTGTAGGATCATCATCAGTTTAATTGTACTAATGCTATATTCTATTGTAAGAACAGCTTAGCTTAAATATATGTATATTATATTTACATATTTATTAGATTAAACTGTTCTTAGAATATAGCAGCATTTAAAAGTTATACATGATGACTGTATAGGAGTCAAAAACATTTTTTTAAATATAAATTTTTGGTAACATCAAGAAGCAATTATGGATAATATATTTATCATTATGATACCAAGTTTTGTCAATTTTATAGTATCATATTAATACAGAAATTTTATAGTACAGGAAGTAACTAAAGTAACAATTGAAATTGAATATTAATTTCATCCTTGATTAGCTTTCTACAGAACTTGCTATATAACTGAATAATGCTTTTTAATAAATATTTTGTACATATTGCTTATAATTTACTTATTAAAATTATTTCTCTTTCATTAAGAAATATCAACAAAAATTTATTGGGATTATTTTACAGTAAAAGGAATTCTTCTGTAAACAGTCTTTATCAGGGGTTCTCAGGAAAATACTATTCTGTGACCTCTTTTTTCATTTTCAATATTACATATTAAATAATTATAAATATGAATTAACTGAGTAATTTACACATTTCTTATCAATTGTCAGAATGATCATTAAGAAATCTTTCAATAGTATCCATATTCCTTCAAAATGGCAGCTATATTGATGATCCCAGTGAATAAAAAGTTACAAAATTGGCTTCCTGGAGTGAAGGATATGAGAATCCTTGATCTATAGACATACATATATATGTAAACATAAAACTTTTACATTTTCTAATATTTAAAAATATTTTTTATTTTACAGAAAGGAACAAAACTGGAACGTGCAAGAGATCTTTTTGAGCAGTGTCTAGAAGGTTGTCCAGCAAAATTTGCTAAGTGTAAGTTTTAAAAACTTCATATTACTATTATTTATATAATAAAGTTTTTTAAAACTCAATAATTTAAAAAAAATTGTTTTCAGCACTCTATCTGTTATATGTGAAACTGGAAGAAGAACACGGTTTGGCCAGACATGCCATGACCATCTACGATCGAGCAACTCGTGCTGTTCCTCCTGAAGATCAGTTTGAGATGTTTAATATATACATTAAAAAAGCAGCAGAAATTTATGGTGTTACTTATACAAGACAAATTTATGAAAAAGCTATAGAAGCTCTTCCAGATAGTCAAGCTAGAGAAATGTGTTTAAGGTTTGCAGATCTAGAACGTAAATTAGGGGAGATCGATAGAGCGAGAGCTATTTACGCTCATTGTAGTCAAATGTGTGATCCAAGGGTAAGTGTTTTTATTTTAACATATATTATTTTGAAAATAATTAAATTCTTAATCCTTTATTACAACATAAATTTCATTTTGAATCATTCTATCATGCAATTTTTATCTGTAATGACCCATTCCAGACAACATCAGAATTTTGGCAAACATGGAAAGAATTTGAAATACGACATGGCAATGAAGATACAATGAGAGAGATGCTGAGAATGAAAAGAAGTGTACAAGCTACTTACAATACACAAGTCCACTTTATGTCTTCTCAGATGTTAACTGCTGCTGTTGCTGCAGCAGGAGGAACACCTGGTATGCTCTTGAATTAATGTAAAATATTTATTATGATTTTAATGCTAAGCTATTTTCCTTTTCTTTTCCTCTAGAAATACCAACTGCATTACAAGATAAAATGAAATTACTTGAAGCCAAAGCACAAGCCTTGGCAGAAGAAGCTCAAAAAGATGTGCCAAAAATGCCAGGAAGAAAAGATATCTTATTTGTTAGGTTAGTCAAGTGGTGCCATAGTTTTAAAAACAAATTTTATATGCATGGGCTTCTTTAATTTTCACTTTTTAATTAATAGGGGTGGAACAACTGCAACAGAAGAGGAATTGGCAGAATTAAGTAAAACAACAAATCCTGACGAAATTGCAATTGACGATGATTTTGAAAGTGATGATGATGAAAAGGTTGAAGGTAATAATATCTTTAAAATAAGAACAGAAATGCTATTTGTATATACAATTTTTCAGAATATTTTAAATTTTTTCAGAAATTGAAGTGGAACAGAGGACTGTTCCTACAGAAGTGTTTGGTGAACTAAAAAGATGAAACCTTTTTCTAATTAATAAAATACAGACAACTTTTAGCATAAATAAAGTTTAAATATTTATTTACATAAATCATCTATTTTCATACTTATCCATTTTAATTTGTTGACAACTTCTTCAGACAGATTTTGTTTTCCCAATAATTCTAATTTTGTCACACTGCTTTCAATTGTAATTAATATGTTGTCCATCTAAAAACAATCATAATAGTTTATAATTAAAAATACGAAAATTCAAATTGTGTAATTTAAAATAATTACCTCATTAATCTTAAATGATGATTTCTCTTCTAGACATTCATCATTAAAAGTTTTATTTCTCAAATTACTGAACTGAGTTTTAAAAATTGATAACATTTCTTTCTCATCCACAACTCTCTCTCTTACAATTTTCTAAAACAAAAAAATAAAAATAAAATTACAAAAAGTCTTAGCAAAGTTTTTCATAAAAATTAACATACTTTACTAAGAAACTGCTGAACAAGTTTTTGTAGATTTTCATCATCTTTGATGCACAAAGGAATTATAGCTGCATGAGGTGTGTTAAGAGCAAATTCTGCAAATGCCTCTATACATTCATATTGCAAAACAGGTATTGGATGCTGGAGAGCATATTTGAACAATCTTGCAATCGATGAAAAAATTTTTAGTTGCTATTAAAATAACATATTTCATATTACTATTAATTTCATGTAAGAAAAGAAATTTTAAAAGATGATAAAAAAAAACTACACCTCAGCTGAAGGAGTAACATATTTATTTTTACACTGTTTTAAGAACTGAATTATTGCTGCACAAACAACATCGCATTCTACACACCATGACTGGAAAAGGAAGTCTAATGTCTAAAATGAAACAATTAGTCGTTTTAAATCTAAAATGTAATATTTTTGTATAACCTTTCAAAATTTATTATTATTATTATTAAACAATGCTAAAATGAGAGATATTAATATAATAATAATGTGATTTCTGTTACCTTTAATAACAACTTATTTTGAAGATGTGGAATTAAACATGTAAATATCTGAATAAGTTTAACTGTTATATTTTTAACAACTAATGACGATGACAGTTGATCAAGTGATAATCTTTTCCACCAGTTAAGTAATATCTTAATTTGTTCTTCTAGAACTTGATCATTATATTCACTGAGAATATTTCGAATGAAATCTAACAGATCACACTAAAAGGAAGAAAAAATATAATTTTTTTTTCAATATAAAATGAATTATATATATATAATAATAATTCATTTAATATATATNTCTTCCAAAAGTGACAGCATTTTTGTAGAGAATAGATATTTCTTGTTTAAAAGTGCATTTTTCCAGATATTTGCTTTAAAATATTTTGAAGTCACTTTATCTTATAAATAGTCCCTTATGAAAATAAAAATATCATTCTGTAAATATATCCATACCTCTAGAATAAAGAACTTTTTATGCTATATCTAAAATACATATATAAATATATATATATACACACACACACACACACATAATAATTCAAGTTTTTTTGTAATTAATAATTGTTAATTTTATGTGATTACGTTATTACTGTATTTATTTTACATAGAAATGATAAGCAAATGATCCTGTGTATCATCAGACATATAATGTTACATGTTTTGGAACATGTTAATTCTGATAAATTCTACTTATAAAACTTAACTATAACTAAATCATCACTTATTGTAATCAGAATTTTAGTTACCTTCAGGTAAACATATTTTTAAGCTGTCTTTCATGCCATCATCCACAATCATTTATAATTAAATCATGAAGTGTTTTAACTGTTAGTTTAAATTGCTGTCATTTCTAACTCAAATTATATGCTAGCTGTTGTTAAAGACAACAGTTCGGAAAACTAGACGAATAACACCGAACGAATTAAAATATTTATTAACTAACATTAATTGATTTGATATCATCTTAATGCCAGTCAATAAAATCAGAATTTCTACTGACTGTAGTCTTATTTACATAGTCTACTCATTAGGCAGGTTCCAAAGTGATAACATTAAATGGATTCTACTGTATTTCTGAATTGAATTCCTGATAACTCACTATGTTGTTATTCATTTTAGTAGAAATTCATACAGACGTTTTTATGTCCTTACAAACAAGCAATATTTAAATATATTGCTAAATGTATTCTACAATTAAATAATAGTCTGTATTATTTTAACAAGAATATCATTAAAAATAATCTATTTCACTGCACTGTTATATCAATGTAACTGATATCTTGTGGTAATCATTATTCAAAATAATGCTTCTTATACTATAAAAACTCATTATTTTTAAACCAGTTTTTAGACACTTTGTGCAATATACCACAAATTTTGTCCCATCTATAAGGTCATGCTCTTATATGCACAGAAATATATTACAGTAGAAACTCGATGTAACATTTTTTGCCTTTAACATCTTTCAGTTTTGTGTGTTTTTGTGTATTTAATGCATGAAAAGCTTAATCCTTAGACAAATTTTCACCTCATATAATATTTTTTGAAAAAAAAAGTACTATATTTCTTGTTTAGATGGTCAGGAGACTTATCAAGATCATTTTGCCACCATGTGATAATGAGAGAAAACATATTCTATAGTTTTTGTGCCTTAGAAACCATTGTTGGACTCAGAAATTTGCATAGCAAGAAGAGCAAAGCAATATCAAGTCAATTTTCAAAGTTCACTATAGATTCTGCAGTCAAGATAGAATAGTCCCATACAGCTATAAACCTGGACATTATGGAATTATGTAACAAGAGCAAACACAAAAGAAAGTAGAGTACAATCTTAGAAATCAGCTGCTTGTTAGTTTGACACATCCAGTAATCTGTCACTCGTCAACTCTTGGGTATCACTGAACTGTTGCCAAGTTGTAGACAAGCTTACAGTATGGCATGATGTTGAGCCCAAGAGTGGAAATGATATTACAGATTATTAGGCTTGGGTGGCAGTTGATGGCATCTAATACGATGCTACACAAGAGGTTTTATGGCACACAACTCTAATAGAATCATTTTGATTTCATATAATGTTTTGATTGAAATTAATGTTTCTATCAAAAACCAGTGCTGATCAAAACATTATATGAAATTAAAATAATTCTCTTAGAGTTGTGCATCCCTTAGCAATAGCACCCCTATATTAGATAAGATGAGCTACCACTGTTAGGTTCATCATCTTAGGTTACTCAAAAAAAAAAAAAAAAAAAAAAAAAAAAAAAAAAAAAAAAAAAAAAAAAAAAAAAAAAAAAAAAAAAAAAAAAANCATTCTTCTTCCTCCAACAATCTGTTTACAATCAAATAGCAATAAATCCTTTACATGGCCCATTGCTATTCTAACCAAGCTAACACACAACTGATAAGTATGATACCTATGATGCCAAATGCAAATGTTCCAGTTCAAAGCGTTTCCCCTGTGGGTAGAAGGTAACACCATTGTATGTGCTGCTGTCTCTAATTTTTTGGCACTTCAGTTTAATAAGAGCTAGGAAAGTAAATCTTAAACACTAACTTAGATATTTAAAATTTTAATCATACATTTTATAGGTTATTATTATTATTCAAATACTTACTCTCCAAAACTGAACTGCAGAAAAAAGAGAAACAATATCAGTTTTGTATATTTTTCCTGTTATTAATGGCTAGCAGTAAAGTTAAAGAAGTATTTAATGTTTTAATTATTCAAAAAATTTTTCTATCAGATTTAATAATTGCAATTTTTAAAATATTTTTTCATAACTGTGTATATATATCTCGGCAGATAAGATGATAGTTGAATCATAAAAAAAAAGGCCTCCAAAATCTAGGGTCGTCTTATAGGACAGATACAAAAAAAATTAGATTGAAATTTATATAAATTAAACCATTATAAAAAACGGACAAACCTTAATTATTTGATAGTATAGAGAGTAGGGTATGTGCACAAAATAGAATAGTCCATACGACGTTTTGTGAATAGTCAAGATCATTACCCGAATGCCGAATCAGTGTGAATGTTTGCAACAATCGTAAGGCAGTGCTACCAGATGCAAGAAAATAAAATTTGTTCATTCGAAAAATTACAAATAGGACATAATTCCGTATACACTATACAGTATTATTATTCAGATGATGAACGCTGACCTAAATTAAATTCATAGGCCGTTGATAGTTTGGAGGTCATCTTATAGGATAGATATATGCTAAAACTATAAAACTTCGATAAAAATTTATATCTCATCTTATCTGCTGAGATATACAGTATATACCAGACTTGGGCAAATTCAGCTCTTGCTGAAAGTGTTAATTTCTGCTTTTTATCATTACTTTTACAATTTTATTTCCACAATTTTGTGAAAATATGTTTATTAAAAAAATTCAATATTTGTTTTATATTATATTTATATTATATAATAAAATCACGGTACAGAATAAAAAAGTACAGAACTGCGGCTCCCATGCAATTTGCAAAACTTACATTTCAGCTCCCTCTGAACTCTTGCTTGCCCACCCCTGGCATATACACATGTATTTCTATGTTTTGGCATGGTTACTTTGAAGGATATTTGGATTTTACATATTCTGTGATTTAATGTATTTTTTCATCAGTTCTTTAAAAATTAAATTGAGTTTTGAGTTTATTGAATAAGATGATAATTTTCTAATAATGAAAACTTCCAAATAACCTAATGTACTGCAATAAACTGGAAAATGATAATACAAACTTTAATGTGTTAAGAAATTTCCTATATAAAATATATATATATATTGAAAAAAACTGATTATATTGATATAAAATATTGAAGTTTCAATTCTAATGAGGGCAATCTAGTTCATAATTGGTCATTGTAATATTTCAACTGACCAAATCTAAAAACTAATACTTTCATTATATTTATGGGAGTTATTTTGTTAGTAAATTTTTATTCATTACATAAAGAAAACAATTTTAATTAGAAAACTGTTTCTTTAATATCATTTGATATAAAAACAAGTTTTAATCTAATTAGAATATCACTTTCAAAAATAAACAAAGATTAGTGTGACAGTCATATTTGTTGTTAATATTGAAGAAAAAGATCACAATTTTAGTTGCAAGTTACATATATTTCCATTATGATTATATTTACTATTCCACATTCAGCATAAATCCAAAACATTAATTGAAATTGTAAAAATAAAATATGGTAAAAAATTTTTACTATATTTCATTTCATATAAATTAAAACTATGAAATTTTTTGAGTAGTTAATAACTAGAATTGTTGGTAACCAACTTTAATTTCAAAATCAAGTTGGCTATACTGTAGTGGTGATGTAAAAGAACATATTTAAAACATTCTGGAATTTGGGACATGGAATTCTCAGTTTGCTCTTGATTTCCTTTGGGTCCTAAATGGAGGCAAAAACATTTTCTTAGTGTATAACTTGGTATAAATAGAAATATATACAGCTGGAAAAATGTGCAAGGTTGTTTTTTAAGTCATTTTGTTAATAATTTCAGTTTCATTAGAACTAATTTAAGTATTATAATTTAAGATGCATGTAAATTGCAAAGAAACTTAATACAATCACTACCCCCATAAAGAGAGTGTTTTCTATAGCTGTGCATTGAAAAATTTTGTTTTATGCTTTGTTTAGTTATTACATGAAAAATGTAATAACTAAACAAAAAATATGTTAAAGAAATTATATAAAATATACTGTATTCTTAGAAGTGTACAATAATAAAACTTTCTGAAGAAACACAATAAACTTTTATGACAATTGTGAAAGGAGGAAGTGAGTATGTTAAAAAAAAAAATACTAAATTATTCTTAATATTTAAGAAATGAGAAAGGCAAATTATATAGAATTTATGTACATTTTGAAATTATTTTATATTAAGTTAAATTTATTATGGTAGATTCAAGATTATGTACTGTTTACTATAGTAAAAGATAATTTTCATAAGATTTAAATAAATATTTCATTTTAGTTCTTATTAATATACAATTAAATAAATTATAAGTAAAAACATGTTCACATTTTTGGTGACATATTTCAATTATGATGATTCTAGAAACAAAGAAAATCATTCAATTCTTTGCTTCACTTTAATTAGAAAAATCTCTGAGTTACAAATTCAAATATTTAACTATGTCAAACAAAATTACATTTTTATAAAAAATGTAATTTTGAGTTAAAAAGTTATTTATATATTTTTATCTTTTAGATAAAAATATGTTTTCTGATATAAAATTTTATAAAAGAATTTAATTAGCAATACTTGTCAACCCCCCTATAAGATTGTTGATTTTTCCGTTTTATATGAATTCCATGTTGTACGAGTCACTTAGATTTTACAAATACGTGTGCCGGGCTGTGAACGGCTCACATATTTGTAAAATCTAAGTGACTCGTACAACATGTAATTCAGATAAAACGGAAAAATCAACAATCTTATAGGGGGGTTGACAAGTATTGCTAATTAAATTCTTTTATAAAATTTTATATCAGAAAACATATTTTTATCTAAAAGATAAAAATATATAAATAACTTTTTAACTCAAAATTACATTTTTTATAAAAATGTAATTTTGTTTGACATAGTTAAATATTTGAATTTGTAACTCAGAGATTTTTCTAATTAAAGTGAAGCAAAGAATTGAATGATTTTCTTTGTTTCTAGAATCATCATAATTGAAATATGTCACCAAAAATGTGAACATGTTTTTACTTATAATTTATTTAATTGTATATTAATAAGAACTAAAATGAAATATTTATTTAAATCTTATGAAAATTATCTTTTACTATAGTAAACAGTACATAATCTTGAATCTACCATAATAAATTTAACTTAATATAAAATAATTTCAAAATGTACATAAATTCTATATAATTTGCCTTTCTCATTTCTTAAATATTAAGAATAATTTAGTATTTTTTTTTTTAACATACTCACTTCCTCCTTTCACAATTGTCATAAAAGTTTATTGTGTTTCTTCAGAAAGTTTTATTATTGTACACTTCTAAGAATACAGTATATTTTATATAATTTCTTTAACATATTTTTTGTTTAGTTATTACATTTTTCATGTAATAACTAAACAAAGCATAAAACAAAATTTTTCAATGCACAGCTATAGAAAACACTCTCTTTATGGGGGTAGTGATTGTATTAAGTTTCTTTGCAATTTACATGCATCTTAAATTATAATACTTAAATTAGTTCTAATGAAACTGAAATTATTAACAAAATGACTTAAAAAACAACCTTGCACATTTTTCCAGCTGTATATATTTCTATTTATACCAAGTTATACACTAAGAAAATGTTTTTGCCTCCATTTAGGACCCAAAGGAAATCAAGAGCAAACTGAGAATTCCATGTCCCAAATTCCAGAATGTTTTAAATATGTTCTTTTACATCACCACTACAGTATAGCCAACTTGATTTTGAAATTAAAGTTGGTTACCAACAATTCTAGTTATTAACTACTCAAAAAATTTCATAGTTTTAATTTATATGAAATGAAATATAGTAAAAATTTTTTACCATATTTTATTTTTACAATTTCAATTAATGTTTTGGATTTATGCTGAATGTGGAATAGTAAATATAATCATAATGGAAATATATGTAACTTGCAACTAAAATTGTGATCTTTTTCTTCAATATTAACAACAAATATGACTGTCACACTAATCTTTGTTTATTTTTGAAAGTGATATTCTAATTAGATTAAAACTTTTTTTTATATCAAATGATATTAAAGAAACAGTTTTCTAATTAAAATTGTTTTCTTTATGTAATGAATAAAAATTTACTAACAAAATAACTCCCATAAATATAATGAAAGTATTAGTTTTTAGATTTGGTCAGTTGAAATATTACAATGACCAATTATGAACTAGATTGCCCTCATTAGAATTGAAACTTCAATATTTTATATCAATATAATCAGTTTTTTTCAATATATATATATATTTTATATAGGAAATTTCTTAACACATTANGGAGACTTGAGAGACTCTATATGGTGATTTCTTGTAACCATGAATGAATCAAAAGACGTGATAAGATTAACGAGAACATTTATTAGCTTACATACATCCGAATCTGGATTTTACACAAATTGCGAAATTATACCCTGACTTACGTGAATTCGACTTACGCAGTTATCGCTCAGTTCCACCTATCGTGTAAGTTCGGGGTATCACTGTATAATGTAAAAATTTAAAAATGACTCTAATCAAATATTGGCATCAGAAAATTAATTAAATCTGTTTAAATTCTCATGAATTATTCTTATTTCCTTCATTTTATCATTAAGAAGAACGATTATGAAATAAAAGTTACTAAATATGTAATCCAACACCTTATTTTTCGCTGAGAGATTATTTTTAATTAAAACAAACGTTTTCGATCCATTCATTGGATCATCTTCAGGTTAAATAGAACACTTCATAAATAGAACTACTCGTTTAAATATTCAAAAATACAAATAAACCGATANATACTTTATATTTTGGTATCAGAAATTTTACTATTCTTCTAAGAAGAAATCTGATGTGCAACATATTGATATTGTTCTCTGCATCAGATTTCATTAAGAGTTCAACCAGAAAAGAACAATATGAAAAACATAAATCTGCTGAACCATACCTAAATAACAAAATAATAAATTTAATAACTTTTAATATATTTTCAATTTAATGTAAATGACATTGGCCAGAATGGCGAGCAGTTAAGATGTCAATCAAATGCTCTTGGAAATGTGGGAACAAATCTAGATGGACCAAAGAAACTCCACCAGTTGGTAAGCTTGATTAAAGACCCTCTTATGCCCACAGGACAGAGTAAAAAAATTTAAATAAATAAATAAACTATGCAACTATGCATTTACCTTGCAACAAAGCATAAAATATCACTTATTAAAGTTGCATATACTCCAGAGCTTTTTACATAATTAAACAACACCTTTTCCTAAAAGAAATTATCATTATTACTGTTAAATAAAAAAAAATAAAATTAGCTTTGAAATTTTAAAATATAATGCTTATTTTTACCAAAATTGGAAAATATTGAACAGGCATTGCTGAGATAAAACTACAAACACGAATACATACAAGTTCATAAAAACTGATCATTCTGGAAAAGATATATATAAATATATTTAAAATCTTTAAGTTGTTATAATACTGAAATATGAAAAATACTTCTGTGATTTTCCTTGACACAAATTTCCAGACAGATAGACAGGTAAATGGAATTGTGAAAAACCTGAAAGTAATTAATAAAATGGTAAAATGTTTAAAAATATCAATTAAATATTTTATGAAAACACTTACACATTTCAACTGTCGTAAAAATGGAAGTAATGAGTGACTGTTTTGCCTTAGAAGGTTTAATCCATAAGTCTTGAGTTTCTTCTACAAATTAACCAATTAAATTTGTTTTATATAAAATAGGGTAAAAATATTAAATGTAATAAGTTCTGAAAAGTTAATTTAACCTTATAACAAACACATTAACTTTGTTATATGATATGATGCATAGATTACAATTGTAATTCATGTACAAATTTCAGAATTTTTATTAAAGAATTTTACTATGAACATTCATATAAAAGTATATAAGAACATCTTACAAATGTTTATTAATTCATTGACTACAAAACAATATTTTTAACGTTAATTTTACAAACACCAAACTTTTTGTTGAGCTTAAAATTCTTTTATTTTTACTAATGTTTTTCAACCTATTAATATAGGCCATCGTCAGGCTTAAGAATATAAATTTATATTCTTTTGGTGTTTGTGAAATTAATGTGAATTATTTGTTGAGAAAGCAGTGGATAATATTTTAAAATTTTACTGATATTTAATAATAGAAAAATAAAATTAACACATTCCTCTGTTGCTTACATAAGGTAAGCATTTTGCAAAAATTTAATGTGTGTGATGTAATTGAAGATAAGTCACTATGAAGTTGGACCACTTGACCAACACCATTGGCTCAAGTCTAAAAAATCTCGAGCATACATCTGAGTAAACTTCATACAAAATATATTTTAAATCTTTGGACTAATCTCAAACAATTGTACTATTTTTTTTTGTGCCCCTTGAAGAAGATTACAATAGAGTTTTAAAAAATAATTTTAACCAATTTATACAGATTTCAGAATTGATATATTGAGCAGCTACCATTTTTTATTTTAATAGATGAAGAGGCCAAACTTTTCAGTATTTATATTGCAGAAATTTTACTTCAGTACTATGCTACGTCCATCTAAACTATATCAACAAAAATTTCCAAAAATATATCAAAGATTTTTTACTGTAACTATATTCTAATATTAGTTACAAATATCTTACCTGATAATGTAGACAATTTCTGGAGTATAAATAATTTCAATAAACAAGAAGAAAATTCAGAGTCTCGTGCTGACAATAAAGTGTCAAATTTATTAATTTAGATAATTACATTATATTTATAACATATATTAAATTTTTTAAAAGTTAAAAGCTTAAATATATATTATTATTTTAATACTTTTTAAATTATAATAATTTAAATAACAAATATAATAGAAATTCAAGAATACAGTTTCTATCTGATCTATTTGACTGTACAGTAATACCTCAACTTACACGAACCTGGAGTTACGTGATTTTCAAATCTCGTGGATTCATCTTTTGTTTGAGCGGCACGCAGCTCTTGATTACTCACTCCCCCCACACTATTGTTCAGCTTACATGTTCAGATGTGTCGTGTGGAATCGACGCATAGTTACAATTTATTTTGTGTTATTTATTTCTGTGTTTGTTATATCTACGGAGACTTGA